CTGGTTCTCCCTCTTGGGGGAGATTGTGGGGCAATGGCAGGGCCCCAATCAACCACATTGCACCGGCCTTGGCTAGCCCGGTGCCAGTGTGTGTCATAGTATAGCTGTTCAGGTGGTCATTCTTGCTGTTTGGCCATTCAGTCAATTTGCATATTATGCTTTTATTATTATAGATTATATTTAAAAACATAGTTAAGCCCTAACTAGTTTGGCTCAGTGGATAGAGCATCGGCCTGTGGACTGAGGGGTCCCAGGTTCGATTCCAGTCAAGGACATGTACCTTGGTTATGGGCACATCCCCAGTGGGGGAGGGGGGGAAGCTGATCGATGTTTCTCTCCCATTGATGTTTCTAACACTCTATCACCCTCCCTTCCTCTCCTCTCTGTAAAATATCAATAAAATATTTTTTTAAGAAAACATAGTTAATATTTTGCTGTTATTGGCTTTAGGTACTTGCCTTATGAAAATAAAAATAGGAATAATTAAGAAAAGATAAAGAAGCCAGGGAAACTTTTGTGAAAATGATGATGGGCTTTAGAATGCCAGCAATAAAAAGTATAGCCCTACATTCAAAGATCTTACAAATACGCAGAAAAATGAAATGTAACAGCAAACAAGTAACTCCATTACATCATTGTAAATACCAATCTAGAAAAAGTATGCACAGAGCCTGGAAGCTTTACACACACAAAAAAACTTGACACCTGAGTGGGTGTTTTATTTTTAATCTTTATTGTTGAAAGCATTGCATATGTCCCTGAGTGGGTTTTAAAAGATGTGAATGAAAACTGAGCTAGGTGGCCCTAGCCAAGTGGCTCAGCTGGTTGGAGTGTCATCCCATACCTTAAAGAAGTTGTGGGTTCGATTCCCAGTCAGGGTACATACCTATGTTGCAGATTCAATTCCCAGGGCACATATGGAAGGCAACCAATCAATGTTTTTCTTTCTCTCCCTCCTCTCCTTTTTCTAAAAAAAGAAAAGAAATAAATAAAAATACATCCTTGGGTGAGGATTTAAAAAAACAGATGAGCTAGGTGGAGAAAGAGAAAGAGTATTCCGTGTACAGGAAATAGCAAGTATAAAGCCTTTGAGATTCTGAAAAATAATTTTATATGTTGGAAGTGTTGCTGAAACAGAACAGTAGAAAGAGGGAAGATTGCAAAGAAATATTGCGTCTATATCAGGCTTTTCAAATTCTTTTTATGAAGAATCTGTTTTTTACTTCCAATATGTCATGGACTGGTAATTTTTATCTATACCCTATTCAATGACATGAGACCACTGATCATGTGCTTGATGTCATAGTAATCCAAATTGCCTCTAGATGTTCACTTTCAATTTCAGTAATTATTTCAACAAAGATTAGAAACAAACTTCCTGAATTAGGCTAGTCCATGGACCACACTGAGCTGAATCACAAAAGTTTTATCATGAAAGCAATGTGGAATCATTTAAGTATATTTTTTTCTGGCTTCCTCTTTTTAAATCAAAGTTTTAATACATAATTTATAATCCTAAAAAAAAAGGTACTATTATTCTCTTCATGTTCTGGATTAAGAAAATGTACCTCATTAAGATTAAAAAAAACTTTCTCACAATGATACACTGAGAAAAAATATTGGACACTCATATCTCAGGTAAGAGTTAATTCCCCTAAAACAACAAAAAGCTCCTGGGATTCAAAAGCTTAATAGGGCCAGGACCAGTTTGGCTCAATGAATAGAGCGTCGGCTTGGGGACTGAAGGGTCCCGGGTTCGATTCCGGTCAAGGGCATGTACCTTGGTTGCGGGCACATCCCCAGTAGGGGGTGCGCAAGAGGCAGCTGATCAATGACTCTCATCGATGTTTCTAACTCTCTATCTCTCTCCCTTCCTCTCTGTACAAAATCAATAAAATATATTTAAAAATAATAATAAAATAAAATAAAAAAATAATAAAGTAGAGAGTACAGCTTCAATACTGTATTTGCCGGTATTGAGCAAGGTTTGTTTAAAAAAAAAAAAAAAAAAAAAAAAAAAAAAAAAAAAAAAAAGCTTAATAGGAAAAATGGGCAAAATAAATAAATAAAAAATGAACAGACTGTTCACAGAAAAGTAAATACTAATAGCCCTTACTTACATGAAAGCATGCTTAACTCTACTGATAATAAGATACGTAAATTTAAACTCTACTGAGATACACCATTGCCTAGCAGACTAGCAAAAATCCTAAAGCCATTCTATTAGATTTGGGCAGCAAAAAGCACCGTCGTGACATTACTGGTAGGAGTATAAATCGATCCAATCTCTGCTGAAGGCAGATACCCTTTGGGGTAGTCATTAAAGCTGTTCACAAATCCTTCCCTATCTCTTTCAGGGTACAAGCACTACTAATTTGAAGTTATATATGGCTTTATGATTTGCTTTAGCTGGGGAAATATGAGCAAAAGTGACATATTATATCTTCTGGGCAGGAGTTTTAAGAGGCAGAATGCAATTTTCTATGTTCTCTTTCATTTGTTATCTTTTCTTTCCCCCTACCACCAAGACTGGCAATGTTCTAGGTGCAAGCTATGCCATCAACCTGGTTTGCAGAGAAAACACAATTTAAAGCAAAATATAAGAACACAAAGAATGACAAGTAGCATGAGTAAAATAAACCTTTGCTGTTTTAAGCCACTGACAAATGGAGGGCAATCTAGCAATATTTATCAAAATTACAAATGCATATCCACTTAGATACATGTGCATACATGCAAAATGACACATGTAAAAGGTACTCATTTAGAACATGGCTGTTATAACAAGTGACTAGAAACAACCAAATAACCATGAATAGAGACTAGTTAAATACTTGTAGTATATTCATATAGGGGAATATTATGCAGATGTTTACAAAAGAAAAGTAATCTTAGAGCTAATATGGAAGAATCTATAAGTGAAAAAGCAAAATGTAATCAATGTGTATAATATACCATATTTGTAAAAGTAAAAAATTGGAGGGAGATTGGAATATCCTATCTAATAAAAGAGTAATATGTAAATTGACCATCACTCCAACACACAAGATGGCTGCCCCCATGTGGACACAAGATGGCTGCCACAAGATGGCCAGCAGGGGAGGGCAGTTAGGGGCAATAGGGCCAGCAGGGGAGGGCAGTTTTAGGGGCAACCAGGCTGGCAAGGGAGGACAGTTAGGGGTGACAAGGCTGGCAGGGGTGCTGTTAGGCATCCGTCAGGCTGGCAGGGGAGTAGTTAGGAGTTGATCAGGATGGCAGGCAGAAGCGCTTAGGGGCAATCAGGCAAGCAGGCAGGTGAGCAGTTGGGAGCCAGCAGTCCTGGATTGTGAGAGAGATCCCAGGCTGGAAAGGGTGCAGGCTGGGCTGAGAGACACCCCCCCACACCCCCCCGCATGCATGAATTTCGTCCACCGGGCCTCTAGTATATTCATATTTGCTTACACTTGCATAAAGAAATTCTAGAATAATAGAAACTAACAAAAATTATTATCTTGGGATAGAGTATTAAGGGGAGACTAGATGCAACTTCCCAACTATTCAGGTGGAAAACTCTTAATGTCATACTTCTTACTGTCTCACAACCTCAAACAATCTGTCAGCAAATTTCATCTTGAGTATAAATGGTGTACTTCTGCCTCTATCTTAACCTGTTATCAAATCCTTCTTTGAACTCTGGCTTATCTTTCTTCTCTTGGCAATACTCAATCAGCTTCCAGTTACATTACCTATGTTAAGAATATATTTATAATTGTTCTCTTATTCATTTAAGTGGCAATGGTTCTTAATTACTCATAAGTGAACCATGCCTTTCTCTAAATAATTCCAAGCTTTGGCAACTGTTTTTAGCTATAGTTTTTGAGAGAGACTGAAATGCCTTTTAAAAAGAACATAACAAACTGTTTCTGCTCCAATATATATTCTTATTTTTCTCATTCAGAACTCTTCTTTTATGTAAAGGTTATTTATTTTACTTTCCTTTATAATAAGAATTACAAGACCCCTTATTTCTTAAAAATTACAAGTAAAATATTAATAAATATTATGACATTGATTCTTTATTATTTTTGAAATTACATTTCATTATTTTTAAAATCATAGTTTACAGAATGATTTGAAGATCTAGTTCCACATCTATTATTTCAATACTTAGTTTTCATAGCTATCACAGCTATTAAAGTATTGATAACTGTACAAATGAAAAATGTACAATTATGTCCTACATACCAAAGATTTTGTTGAAATCTGGCTGTTTTCATCTCCCCTGATGTCTTACAAAATAGTCCTAAATATTTTTATATTTCTAACAAATAAGTTCAAACCTCATTAAAACAATCGTTTAATACATTAATAGCCTCTTCCCAAGATTTTAAAATATGCAGTTATGAGTTTTTGTAACACTCATTGTTTCTAGTAACAAAAGAAAACACACACACACACACACACACAAACACACACACACGGAAGCATTTCCAACATGTGTATTGAAAATGCTTCCTTCAAAGCAGCTACTTTTTCAATCATTTTTAAAACATTATCTTCTTGCTAACGGGTCAAATGAACAGTGCTTATACAAAGGACAATTTAAAATAAATGATAGTAAGGAATTCAGGTAATAAATTAGGAATCAATGAGTCCACATCAATATAAATTGATGGGAGAAAAAAGGATATTTCTTTCTCATAGTAGAATGCCAACTAATGAATGTAGAAAGGATAACAGAAATAGAAAGTTACCATTTGGCTGATTATGGTACTGAAAATAGTATATAACTTTATTTTCAGACTCTTGACCCACTAGGCCTATTTGATTTTCATTAATCAGCATAGATGAAAGCCAATAGCCACCTCCCATCATCTCTTAAGGCTCTGGTTCATTTGTTGTATATTTCCAGAAACACACTAAGAAGATGACTAATCACTGATTGCTTCTTTGGCACCATATGTCTCCCAATTTCAAAGGAAAAATTATCCCAAATAGTACCAGAATAATAGATTTCCTACCTCCTGCAGCTGGAGTCGAACCTTGGTAACTGCTCGGATCCAATGTGCTCTGGCTTGGGTAAATGGCGAAGATGCAGTCTCCTCAGGAAAACTTTATTAAAAAAAAAAAAGAAGAAGAAGAAGAATAGACGTTAAAAATATTCCAGGCCACACAGTAACAGGCAAAACTGCCAAATATCTAAAGTAAAATTATTTATATTCATGCCTACACTTGTTTAGTGATTCAGGTCACTAAAACAGCATGGATGTCCAATGTGGGAAAAAATAATCTTCTCTGAAATGACAACTCCTTTGAGCTTTTCACCTATTCCTTCTCTTCCTTTCCCCTTTTTTTTTACTCATCCAATCAGGTAGAGTTCACTAGGACAGTCAGGGATCAGGATACTAGCAGCAATGGCAAGGGTCTGAGTTAATATATAGAATTAAAACTGTGCAAAGAGGTGTGGAATAACTCTCTCACCTCACCTCTTAAGACCAACAGCCTCCTTTAGGGGTTCTACATGGTATCTGTAGGGCAGAATTTTGTTCCTGAAAACCCCTGCTGCTCTACTAAGTATTTGGGAAGTCTTACCAATTCCTAGCCTACATCAAAAGTGCTAAGAAAAAACCACAGCATTTTTTCTGCCATATTATTCTTTGAGCTGCCTCAAGAACATCCTCAGTGAAATGAACAATAAATATAACAAAGCAGCTTTGAGACAGAAATATTACCCTATATTAGAACAAGTCATCATCCAGGTCCTTAACTAGAATAGTGGTTGATTCTTGGTGATAATACTTCTCCTATTTACCACTGTGGTATACTGCCAAGGCAACAAACAAGTGTCTACCATCTAGACATGTAAAAAATGTATATGCTGGGCTCTAATGTCATCTAACTGGATCAATTGTTCTAAAACATGTGTAAGCCCTTCTGGCCAAGGTAGAATTGGAATTCACTTGCACAGCTAGGATCTGAGAGGATACATACAGCCAGTAGAGAAGGACAAATGCTCATGCTAGTCACTTCTGCTGCTCTACCAACAACTCTACACGGACAATAGTATCTGACAAGTCTAAGTTAACAGGGAATAAAAACTTAATACTACTCTGACTAACCATGAAATGGAATTAGAATAAAATGTACTAACAAACTGGTAAAAGAAACTCATATACTGATAGTTTCCTTATAAGAATATTGCAGGCATCGGCGGTTCCAGTTCCTGCTTGTACAAGAAACAGCCTTGACCACAACTTCAGTTGATGTGGATCACCCAACTTCAGGAATTTGGCTAGCACTGACCTCCAGTATGCTCACATTAAAAATCCATATCAGGACCAGCAAGGACACTGTCTGCATATCCACAGCCCCTCCTCCTCATCTCTTTGTTCTGCTTTCCCTCTTCCTCCCTATAAAAACCCCTAAGAGGGGTGAGTTGGATCTGGCTTTGATATCATTTCTAAGATGGGCCCTGAGATAAGTCCCCCATCTTTTCAGGTTACCAGCACTTGGATAACTCTCTTTCCTTTTCACCAGCATCTGTCTCACAAGTTTGGCTTTCATGGTGGCAAGCAGCAGAACCTTGGTTCCGGTTACATAAGGTCTACAAAGAGTCATTTTTCAGTGGGTTGTCAACCCAGTAAAAAAAAAAACTGGACCAGAGCTCAGTTTCCTGGATGTTTCATCTATTAGATGAGCCACCAGAGATGACTAAAGATTAAGAAAAAGGAAAAAGAGAAAATACGTTTATACTTTCATTGGTGGAGTTGACAAACCAACCATTCTCTCACTTTTACCTCGTAATCAACATTCATTGCTCTGATCTTTTAGTGAGAAGCTTTACTATTAGATATTTACATTTGAGAATCTAAGTCACACCTACCCCTTATCACTCTCCATAAGTGGTTTTCAAAAGGGGCTACGGAAATCTGGCAATATCTGGAAACATGTTTGGTTGTCACACTAAAGGTTGCTACTGGCATCTAGAGTGTACAGACCAGGGATACTACTAAACATCCTACAATGCACCCAATAGCTCCCCAAAACAAAGAGGTGTCTAGCCAAGACTGAGAAATTCTGCTCTGCCCCAACCTATCAGCAACGTTACTGATCAACTTAGCTCAATAAGAACACTCAAGCCGAGACCGGTTTGGCTCAATGGATAGAGCGTCGGCTTGGGGACTGAAGGGACCCGGGTTCGATTCCAGTCAAGGGCATGTACCTTGGTTGTGAGCATATCCCCAGTAGGGGGTGTATAAGAGGCAGCTGATCGATGACTCTCTCTCATCGATGTTTCTAGCTTTCTATCTCTCTTCCTTCCTCTCTGTACAAAATCAATAATATATATATATATTTTTAAATAAAATAATAACACTCAAACTCTGTACTAAGTTTCATTATAAGACTGTTAAAAGGAAACATTTAAATTTTTTCTTATGGGTATCAATTTCCAGATACACTGCTAGGCCCTGGAGAGGCTAAGAGATGCATTAGATCTGGCTTTGATATCAAGTCTATCTCAACTCTGTCCTGGTTTTCTCAGCCAGGGGGAAAAACATACATACACACACACACACACACACACACACACAGCAATGTTCATAAAATCATTTTAAATATTAATATACTTGGAAGCCTATTTCATTCTAAGCAGCTCCTTTAAATGAAATAATTGTAGGGCTCAGGTCAGTTCCACACTCTGAGACTACCATAAGTTCTTGGCTAACTAGTTCTTGGCTAACTAGTAAATCAAGAACTTCAAATTCAAAAAAGCCTGGTACATTGTAGCTAACTAACAAAGATCCCAAGTATTCTGAAGAGATCTTGGGACATAACAAAAATCAAAGGGAGCAATGTAGAGCTAAGCCTCAGTACTCTGATCATCACCAAACTCAACTGTAGGCGCCCGGGGGTGGGGGTGGGGGGTAGGAGATGAAAAGCACATATTCAGCAATATAACAGGGTAGGACTGAGGAAAGCTTGTGAGCTCCTCAAGCAGCCATCACCTACCTCTCTTGGGGACCTTGGACATGGTCTTTTTGTAGCACCAGATCTGGGGTAGGATGGGTTGTGACATCTTTCATCTCCTTGGGTTCACATGCTCTCCCCTTCTCGTCTTCACCAGTCACCTCCAAGATTTTCTCTTGTTCTCCAAAACCCACTTGGACATCTCTAGAGAAGCTACCAGAGCTGTGGCAGGAATGAATCGAGTCCCTCTCCCGACGGTCATCATCTTGTTCATGACACTGGTCTAGTTCACTCAGCTGAGAGCTTCCTTGGCTCACATTGCAGGAGGAGCCATACCTACTACTGCTGGTGGGGCTGTGAGAAGGAGAGGAATACAGATGAGTAAGTGTAACCTAAGGATCAGAGTAAAAGTAACAGATTAATCCAGGAAATAATGATTAATTCAGGAAATAATAATGGCAAGAATCACAAACAGGAGGTTCCTGGGAATGGAGGACCAAACTTTGCAATCTAGAAGAACTAGTCTCTACTCAGCAGTCACATCAGGGGGAAAAAACACATGCTGGGTTCTTAAACAGCACTCAGCCTCAACACAGAAACTGACTTTGAAGAATGTCTTGTCTTAATGTGATATTCATAAATACATTAAGAATTATTCAAAAGTCTAAAATTCTTTGCTCAGACTTCTAAAGAAACTTGTCCAGTGGCTGTGATTAAAGTTTTCTAATTTTCACATAATAAAATGGATGAACTCTACCCCCTTTTGTGGTTATTTGTTAAATTGAGGTCCCCTTTCCTTCCTGTGCAATTGTTAATGTGGATGCCTGTGCCTTAGGATGAGCAAAGGACAGTGGACATGTCCCTTCAACTATCTCTCAGACATCTGCATAATAAGGTAATGGAAGCCACTGGGAGATGGAGGTTAGGATCAAGAAATTCCTCATGGGATTTCACTGACCATTCATCTCATGAATGTTACAAGGATAGTCCTGACAGAATACAGAATGTCCTATAGATAAACTTGACCATTTGTAACTATCGATAAGTTGCTCTCAGGACATAGCTTAATTTTGGATAAAGTGGACAAAGTCCAATTCCAGGATCTAGGTCAGGGTCATATTAATGAATTTCTGTACCTGAAGAGAGGTCAACCAAACCCTCTTTCAAACACCCAAATTCCCATACCCAGAAAGGAAATTTGTTCCCCTGCTATGAGAGTTAGCAGCTGTAGCAGAGTGTAGCAGTGACTCATGGCCAAAAAGAAGAACAGTACTCAGAAGTTACTCCCTTCAGAATCTAAGACATTCTGACCTATTCAAGAGGACTTAGTGACAATCTACAAGACCTGTCTCAGACAATTTGCACAGGTGCATACGTGCGCGCGCGCACGCGCACACACACACACACACACACACACACAATCTCTAAAGCCCCTGACCAGCCTCTTTGGATAGTTTTTGGCCAGAGAGCAAAGCATCATTCTTAAACTACACTGTGTGGTGCTTCCTAGGAGAAATAATAGTGTCCTTTGCAGATAGACCTGACAATGGTCCAGACTGAAGAACTACAGCAAATAATAACCCTGAGCTCCTGTGAGACTTCATTCAAAGCATTTATCAGTCACAAGTCTCATAGATAATAAAAGGCACAGACTGGAAGAAGCTATGCAATTTCATGTGGAATAGGATATAGAATTTAGATTATCCCAAGCCATCCTTTGTACTTTGTATTTTACTTAATACCCTCATTGCCACTGAAGAAAGTATCTTAGAAGACTTAGAAAAGGGAAGTAAAGTAGGTCTCTCCCCAGCTATTACAGATATTAAGTGCTGAAGGCCCAAGGAAGCATCGTAGCCCATCATGTGGTTGTAATTAATACATACTACTCAACTACTTGCTGCCTCTTCCTACCCTCCCTTCTCCATTCCATGTTACAATATATAGGGCAAGCAAATCAGAGTGAGTAAATGTCAGGGCCTACCCTTTCCTTTAAGTAGGAAACTCCTTGTTCCAATAAATAAATTTAAATTTGGCACTAGAGAGAAGGGAGAGGATGAAAAGACCCATACATTATTTCTTGTTATTTAACCTCTAACATGAAATTCAGGTGCTAGGAAAGACAGAGGAAGGAGGAAAAGCAGGCTATATCTAATCTACCTCTAAGTCATTGCATCATAAATGATCAGTTCCTTGAAATCATTTATGATGCTTTAGTTGAGAACAGGCCTTTCATTGGTCTTTGTTTCCTTGATGCCATGCTGAGTAACTGGCAGCTGTCCATTCAAAACAGAGTCAGAGCTAGCAGGCATTGCCTCCCCTCCTTGTGTTTCTGACTGGTGAAGTAGTTCAGAGACAGCACAGTGCTCTTCCTCATGACTCCCTGAAGGACTGGTGAGGCCAGAGAGGTTGCCTTTGGTATTCCAGTCTTCTCCAGATGCTGGGGTTTCTTGCTGGTTTTCCATTTCTCCAAGTCCTGAAAGCCCATGAGCACCTATACTTGGCTTGGCCTCGAGCTGATCAGAGGTCACAGAGAGCTGAGCAGAGACCTTAGCTGGGTGAGCACTAGCCTTAGACATTTGAGAAGATTCCAAGGCTTTGTCAGCCTCACTGGAGTTAAGGTCATGATCACTGCTGATAATCAAAACTGGAGTGAAGGATTCTGTAGGCATTTGTTCAGGGTCTCCTCTGTGCTCTTTTGGCCAAGGGAATAAAAGATCCAGCTTCTTTCCAAACCTTACTTTAGTATCATTTGCCACTATACCGCCTTTTCCCTCATTACCTCCCTCAAACAGAGTTGACAACTTCTTAAAACCGGACATTAAACCAATCTCTGCTCCCCTATCGCCAGAGGAGGAAGGTGGGGAAAAGAAAGAGCTCAGTGGTTTCCCATAGTCAGCAGCAGAGGATGGGAAATGGATCTTTGGCCAATTGGTCATGTTTGGGATCTCAAAACGTGGTCTTGGCTGCTCTGTTTCCTGGAGGGCTGCAGGTGGATCTTTCTGGGCATCATATATCCCATAACTTTCTTTGGCACAAAACACAGGTTCCTCCCACAGAGGGTGAGAAAGGGATCCTTGGGTTTCCAGTATGACACTCTGACCAACTGAACTTGCCTCACTGAACAGTATTGTGGTACTGGTTTCTAGTGAATTGGTTGCCTGTAGCTCTGAGGTGTTTTGTTTTGTGAGGGCAGATTGCATGGCTGGCTTTGGCTCAAGAGGAAGAAGTGGCTGAATTGGAGAAGGAAGGTCTTTGGCAATCCAGGTAGGATCTGGATGGGACTGTGTTGGCAATGAAATATTCTCTGCTTCAAATGATGTCTCTGTGTCTGTGCCCTGCAACACCCCCATGTCTCCTTCATCACTCAGAGATAATACTCCTTGTCCAGTGTCATCTCCTGAGATAGAAGATGTAGCCCCAATTGTTTCAGAACCCTGGGGTTCTGGACTATTGTCAGGAATACTGTTTTCCATTTCAGTCGTTAGTTTTAGATCATCTGTCAAGGTATGGCCAGGAATATTACTATTTTCCACTTCGGTTGTTAGGTTAGGACCATTTGTCAAGGTCTCTGAGTCTGACTTGGCTCTAAGCACAGTCATTCTATAGCCATTGAGAGCAGATTCTGAATTGAATGATGCAGAAGCAGCCTCTCTCCATAAATTTCCTGGAGGTACTGATCCTACAGCATCTCTGGAACTACCATTTTGAAGCCGTGCAGTAGCTGGGATAGATGATTCTTGTTTGCATGTGTCTGGTTTGGGACTTTTGAAAATTCCAAACAACTCACCTTTGAGTGGCGGAGATGATGCACTGGAAGCAAGAGAGAAAAACGAGTTTTTCTTTGGAGGTTTAGAAGAGGAGAAAAATCCAGAGAAAGTTTTGGGAGGTTCAGTTAAGCTCCCAGAGAAAGATTTCACTTTGTTCACAAACCCTGAAAGCATTTCTACTGAAGAGCCCAACAATGATTTGTCTTCCTCTTTATCTGTGTCTCGGCTTTGGAGGTGCCCTGCACACTCCGACTCTTCAGAGGAAGAGGTTGGCTCCAGGATCTGTGTTAACATCTCAACAGGGGCCTTTTCTAATGGCAGGTTCAATGGGTCACCAGAAAATCTTTCATTTTGGTGGTGGTTAGTACAAGTGTCTAAATTGTTGAGCTTTCCAACCAAATGACTATCATGTGGAAAAGACTTGGCCAGTGAGCTGCTGAGGAAGGCTTCCTGTATGACATCTTCTTCATGAGAAGCTACCTCAAAGGTCTCTGGACCAATAAGCAGTGTTTCAGTCTGTGCCTGATATTCCGGTGAATGAGGAGCACTGTCTGTTTGCAACTGATTCAACTGGAAATCTGCTAAAGATATCCATGATCCATCTCTGGACCCTAAGTTTCCCTGATAGTTCTCCCCTACATTGAGCTCATCATCAAGGAAGGTAACCTCAATGGTGTTGTTAATGGAAATACAAGGAGCCATTTGCTGCTCATGAATTAACTCCTGGACTATGCTACCTCTATTGCCATTGGAACCTTCATTCACTGTGCCAGACATGTCTACAAAAACACTTGGCTTCTTACACGGCTGGGAAGTCACTGGAGCAATAGTTGAGAGGCTATGCTTTTCCCCAGGAGTCTGCTGTTTTTCATCCACAAAGGGCATGCTGAAGAAACTAAAGGAGCTATTCTGAGAGGCATCCTTCTTGAGGCTTGAATTAGTGGGGAAAAAGGAAGGGAGTGTGAACAGCCCTTTTGCTTGAGATTTGGTTCTTGGAAGAGCAGCAGAGGCTTTGTTCTCAGATTTTCCGGATCCAGTCAGGAAAGAAAATATACTCTTTCTGGTTGGCAACTCCGGTTGGGGTGGAGATATTGTGACATTTGAAAAACTTAAGTCTTTATCAGAAAAATGATCTTGTTCATTTGAATTTTTTCTGCTCAGAATATCAAAAGATATCTTATTATCTCCTGAAGCTTCCATCACTGTAGACACACCACTGGTTTCTATTGAAGACTCTCTTGAAGACTCTTTGAAACAGTTTGTTGTGAAAGATGGATTTGGTGACTGCTGGATTAAGTGGTCCCTGGAGGATACCTCTTTTTCAGTCAAATTATTGCCCTGGATATCCTTAGTTGATGGTTCTTTTAGCCCAGTATCATCAATAGTAGTCTGCTTATTCAGCCTTCTAACACGAACCTTCCCTTTAGAGAAAACTGGTGCAGCAGGGAAGTTCCCAAAATCCTGGATAGTTGGCTTTGTGGGATTAGGACTTGATTTGACCTCATCCTTATTAGTCACTGAAGAAATAGACATATTTTCAGTTGTCTGTGTAGAAGATACATTGGTTTTAAAGAAATCCCCAAGAGTACCAAAAAAAATTGAGATACCAGAAGATTCATTCTTTTCCTGAGATGTTATTTTTCTATTTTTATCACCATTATTTTCCAAATTTGGTGATCCTTCTTTATTCATCTGGGTTTTAAAGAGGTTCAAAAACCCAGATGCCTGATTTTCATTTGCTGTTGCACTAACTGAAGAGTCTTCTCCCTGACCAAAGAGTTTCAATGCACTTTTAAATAATGTTCTCTCAGACTCTTTGAAAGACTGGTCTTGAGGAATATCGCTATTTCTGTGTTCATCCCTACTAAACTGTGATGCAAGAGGAACTGACACAGAGTCGATTGTCATGATTTTATCATCTTCAACGCCTAATTTAGCCTGAGCAGTTATTTGGCTTACCTGGAAAACAGATTTCAACAGACTTTGTTTTTTCACATGAGTGCTTTTATTTAAAGGAAATTCTTGCTTCACATTTTCAGTAAATTCTGGTTGCTGAACATCAGATACTATTTGTATCTCTGAATATTTAAGAAGACTTGCCTCCTCATTTTGGGGTTTACTCTCTGATTGCTTACTCAAAATTAATGACTGAAGCTCGTCATTTGTGAGCTCTGCCAAGTCTGACTGCTGATCCTTCTTATATGTGGCCAAAGACTCTAAGTACTCATTCTTTTCAAAATTCAAAGTACTTCCAACTGGAACATCCGACACAGAAAATAAGGAAGTCACTTTGTTCAACAATAACATCTCTTCTGTTTGTTGTGGGCTCTTAGTCATATTCTCAAGATGAACCAAAGTAGTACCTTCCTCAGAAGCCTGAAGACAATGAAAACTGGGAAGGCAAACTAATGAATCCTTAACTACAGCCTGGTTCCTGTCTCCATCTTTAATTTGATTTTTATTTAAGACATGATTACCAACACTTTGGGGCTGATTTCTGAGATCCAATGTATATTCAAAGTCTTCAGAAACACATAACATTTCTTCAAAAAACCCCAAACCTCCTTCAAACTTCTGGGAATTACAGACTGAAAAATCTAATGGTCGATCCCTTTGGCTGTACCCTGACTCTTCTTCAAGAATTTGTGAAAGTGTTCCTAAATTTAGATACATTGGTCCCTCACTTCTTGGCAAAACTATAGATAAATCAAGAGGGCCATCAGTTGGTTCCTCTTCGACATACCACAATAATTCATCTTCTTTATCTAGTTCTCTAAAACTACAGGTAGAAATAATGCTGTCATCCAATATAATACCTGATAAATCATTTGTCTGTAAATCACAATTTAAATACTCCTGATAAGGACAATCAGGTATAAATAAATATGCATACTGCGCAGTAGAATCAGTGAGAAAAGAATAGATATATTGACCATCATGAAACATATAATACCCATAGTCTCCATCCTCTGATGGCCACCACACTCCATTTTCAAGACATGACAACCATTCCTGGTATTCATAAACAACATTTGAAAAAGCAAAGTTTTCATCCATTCTTAATGATTCTTGATCATCTATGGGGTATGAAGTCTTCTCATAGCCTGAAGAACTTAAGTCAATGGGCAATTCTTCTAGTGAATTCTCAGTCTCATTAATTAAAAGATGACAAGAATTTCTACATGAGTTAGCTGCCCACATATCACCTCTTACTAAGTAATCTTCATTAAATGCAAACTGATCGAATGATTCATATGGTAAGTCACACCAAATGACACTGTTTGAATTTGTTCTCCAGTCCAAGATATTTGCATTTTTATCTTTTTGGCAAAAATTTATTGCTGGGTTTTCTGAGTCAGGCCACACAAAAACATCAGCTGATGGAAATGTATTTTGATTCGACATACAATAAACTGGCTGAAGTATTCTGGAATCTTTAGATAAATCTTTTATATCAGAATCCCATTCATAACAAAAGTGATTGTCCATCTCTTCAAAAGCTTGATAGTGGTTTGATTTATTAAGAATGTTAGTATTTAGTATAGGTGGATTTAACTTATTTGAACTTTCATATAAGTTTGCTTCAACAATATGGTGTGGTGTTGGCCTCTTAACCAAAGATTCTTCTAAGAGGTCTTCCTGAGCATTTGGTACACTGTTCTCAGAAGAGGGGCAATGCTTTTCAACTAATGGTATGTTTTCTTTAGGTGAAGATAAGAAAGTTTTTATGAAGCCAGAAGTTTGTTTTACATCATGATTCCCCTGGTTCTCAGAAATCACACATGAAGTAACAGGGGTCTCATCCAAAAATAAATGCTTATTTCCACTCAAATCCTTTATGTCGCCTAAAGACATGGACTTTGCTTCATCCGGTTTATTATAATCAGTCAAACTGTTACTGGTTATCAAGTTAAATATTCCTGAGAGTAAGCTTGAGGCATTATTCCTGTGATGAGAATCATCATTTTTCAAATTTAATTCTTGTGTACTAGGCAAGTTTTCAAGAGAAGAGAATCTGTTAAACAGGCCAGAAAGGAGGCCTCCTTGGGTTCTTTTCTTGGAAGCTTTATCTACAAGTTTGTCTTCACTAATTTCATTAATCAAGGTGGGTTGTGAAATAGAAGTCAATGCTAATGAAGAGTCTGATACTATTAAAGATGTCACTTGTGTAAGAATCTTACTTTCTTCTGAGTCAGAAGGCATATGTTCTTCGGGCACAACTGCAAGGATGCCTAAAGTATCTCTTTCACCGTTCTCTTCTGCTGTGTGGTCGCTGGAATTTAATACCTCTATATCCCCAAATTTCTCAAGATCATTATTATTATTTGGAACTGAATCAGACTTTATTTTATCTTCAGGACAATTTTTTGGGTCATTTTTATTCAATTTCTCTGTGTCTCCAAATTTTCCTAGATTATTATGAATATTTGTAACTGAACTAGATTTTATTGAACTAGGTTTGGTATTTTCATGGCAGTTTCTATGCATCTCTTCATCAATGGCTAATTCTGAGCCATGAAAACTCTGGTCATTGACAGTGATGTGGCTGTCAGTGAAAGGAAATTTAAACAAAGGAAAAATGCTTCCTTTCTCTCTTAAGTCCTGCTGCTTTTCAGAATGACTAAGAACACCGAGAAATGGAATATGAAATTTTCCACTAAAGGAAAAGGAATGTCCATCTTTCTTAGGGATCCTTTCCCATCCATTTTCCTCCAACTGATGAACTTCCCTAGATTCTGACAAAGTTTCTTTTGAACAGTTTTCAGTGGAAGTGAGTAAAAACTGGCTAAAAGACTTTCTAAGTGGCTCAAGGAAATCATCATCACCAGTAACTCTGTCTCTTTCAAATGCCGTTGAAGAAGCCTCTTTATTTGCAGTTCCACTGCCAGCTAAACAAGGATGTCCTGGAGTATCTTTGGCACATACTAGTACTTTTGGTTGGTCTGGTAACAGAGACACGTCTATGTGGGATTTTCTTTCCAACAGATTCTCAGTATCATCTTTCTTACTTGCAGAACTAGCTAAGTTTGAAGATTCATTGGCTGACTGGGAAGACAAATCCTCATTTAGGGTCATTTGGGACAAGCCTGTACTGTCTCCATTACACTTATCTAAAGCAATGATGCTACTGTCATTACCAAGAGTATCTTCCTTTTGACTTGATTCTGAACCACACCCAATGAAGCTTTCTTTTCTTGTTGGCTTGTTCTTATCTTTTTTGGTTTCATCATTTTCTGAAAAGATCTTTAATGGAGTTAGCATGCTAAAAACAGACTTTATAACTGAACTCTGACTCTGTGGAGCAGAGTCCCTTCCAAGAGTTTCTGCTGCATCCTGAAAGCTTAAACTTCCAGTTTTAATACCTATGAGCTCATTTCCAGAGTTTTTGTCATGTCTGCCAAGATCCTTATCAATTGTTTGAGAAGGTAATGGAGACTGCATGGAAAGATCCTTCTTTGATACTGAGTTGGCTCTGGGTCTAGGTCCCGAATTAATTGTCTCTATTTTAGTAAGAGTTTCTGTTCTCTCTGGAGCTAAAGAACCCAGCTTTTCCATAGAGAATGTTAGATGCTTTGTGCCCGAGCCCATCTTTTCTGTGAGTGAACCGAACAAAGAACCAACAGCACATTTCACTTCATTCAACTCAGGAAAACAGATGGCTTTGTCCTTGTCATTCTTGACAATATTTATAGGTGGTATTTGATCCCCAGATTTTTTTTGTTCTGCATTATCAACAGTATTATTAATTTTATATGCTTTTTTAGTTTTTGAAAGGGAACCATATTTATCAATCTCCTCTTCCTTCTCTGCTAAATATTCTGAGACTGTTTCTACAAAACACTGAAGCTCATCTATTGTATCAATATAATTCTCCTTAGGTTCAATAGAAGAAAGGGTTATCTCTTCCATGGGACACCCAGACAGATCTCCAAGTGTGTTTGCATTGCAATTCGTCCTTTGTGTTGGATGAATTGCTGGATTTGCTACATAACATTCTTTAGGAAAGCCTCTAATATGATGGACATTGGATGGATGGCATGTTGGTGACAATAAACCTTCCTGCCTCTCAGAAGAAGTGGGGGAATCCAGAAGTTCATCAGAACTACTGCTAGTAGAATCTTCAAGAATATCCAATGGAATGAAATCAGTGACATGCTGGGTTAAGCCAGATGACTTTTCACAGTTCTTTAAACAACCTGGAAGATCATAATCATGACTTTCCAACTTAGCGGCCCACATGCCACACTTAACCACAAATCCATTTTTGTAGGGGTGCAAAACTGGGTAATTATTTCTCTTCTTTTCAATGTTGCAAAAGTTACAATTTTCACTATTAGGATACATACTTTTGAAGTTAGTCTCAGTTCCTAATCTATCATTATATTGTCTTCTTTCATTGTCTTCCAAATGACTGTACAAGGGTTTCTTTTTCCTTCTTCTATCAATTGTATCATATTTCTGAGGATATCTAGAGGAAACAGATGCTTCAAACTTAAGGTCAAAGTCAGAGGCAGCAGAGAATTCTGTTTCTTGGCTTTGAGAGGGTATCTTTTTCCAATTCTTATAACTTGGTTGTACTTGTTGGCTGTAACATTTATCAGTTTTTGAAAGAGTTCTAATTCCCTTTACTTGTGCTTCTTTTATGTTTATGTTACTGTTTTCTAGAAACTCTTGTGATGTTTTTCCCTCTATCTGCTCATATATACCCTCTTGCTCTTTATAGTCAACATCAGAGAAAGCTGAAATAATCCTAATTCTGTCAGTTTTAGCCTGTAAGCCTTGTCTAGTGTAAAGGGATAAGTTTGAAGGCATATGAAGCAAAGAAAAAAGGAAAAACAGGGAAAAGAAACAAATAAGATTTAGTGCACATCCAATAAGAAAACTAGAATTAAAAAAAAACAAAACTAGAACTAGTAAAATTATCAATTTAATAAAAACCATTCAGACTGAACAATATAAGGAAAGTCACATCATCTTAAATTACTATTATAGCAATGTAGTAAAAGAGTATTTTCCACATTAAAAAAAAGAACAGCTATAATAATAACTTTTAAATATTTCACTAGCTATCATAATCTTTTTAAAATCCTTTATTTTCTAAGAAACAAGTTAACAAAATGAACATGTCTCAGCAATATACTAGTATAGCAGCGATTTTCAATCTTTTTCATCTCATGGCACACATAAACTAATTACTAAAATTCTGCAACACACCAAAAAAATAGATATGATTTTGATTCATTCACACCGGATGGCTGTTGTTGTCGGCTGTTGTCATTTTTTACTTGATAATCTAAGGGAAAAGAGGTCAGTGCCTCTGACTAAATAGTCAGGTATTGCATGTTTTCAAAACTCTTGTAGCACACCAGTTGAAAATCGCTGATATATAGAATATATCTACAATGCCAAGTTTAAAACTGTTAAGTATTCCACAAAAATATATCAGGGGATTTCAAGACCTAAATTTGTTGATAAATTTGGGTCTGAAGAGAAGCCAAGCTGTTAACCTGCTGAAAGTTATATTTGAGGCAGTATAGCCAACAATATGGTCAAACACATTTCTTTTAGAAAGAAAAATATACCCATAATAAAAATAGTCTTTGACTATCAGAAGTCAAATCTTGTTACAGTACCAAAAAAAGCAAATTACTTAAAGCGTTATAATTGTTATTTGTGAAATCTAAGACTATATGCATTGAGGATTACAGTGAAATTAAAACCTTTCTCTATACTGAGTACAACAGCAGAACCACATGTTCAACTTAAGCCAGTGAATTCAGAAGAGAGTTGACCTTTCAGTTAGGTTAGAGACTGCCTACTTGCCATGTAGTGAGGTAGGGATGTAGAGAGAGCCTGCAGACTAGGCGCTTGTCAGCTCAGTGTGTTCTTTTATAGATCTAACATCCAATAACATTTATTTAGGAAACAGAAAAAAAAGATCAAAGTTGTAACTAGTCACTAAAAATCTTTAAGCTTTTTAGCTTTTGAGACTGATAGTCTTTTTATAATTGTTTTATTTTTATTTTTTTAATATTTTTATTTACTTATGTATTTTTTATTGTTTAAAGTATTACAAATAGTAGTACATATGTCTCCTTTTTTTCCCCATTGACCTTCCCCCGGCCAGAAACTGATAGTATTTGGTGATATAATATCTAACAAAGTCTAATTCTACTATCAAACCTCAAATTATGTATTTTTACATAATTTACATACATTTCCCATTATTCTGGACTCATTAGGCGGAAATCCATTTGAGAGACTGAGAAAATCAACTTTACATATTTTTATATTTACATTCAGTTTCATTACTCTCCATTATTCTCAAAAACTCAAACTAAACTAAGTCCCATCTGGAAAAAGTCTTTATAGTTACAACTTAAAATCAAAAGATAGTGAGGGATAGAATGAATGAAGCTATTTATTTTTATACTTCTGATTTATTAGAAGATACTGCAAACATGTTTATTCCCTCAAGATTTTTAAATGTTCTTCTTATAAAACTGTACAACTTCAGAATTTAGACTATTTCCAAGAATTTAGTATTTATAGTAATAGAGAAGTTTAAAATATCAATGCTAGTGATATAATTTCTTCAAAAAGTTTTAAAGGAGAAATCATTTCAAACATTTAAGTTAAAAATGTCTATAATAAAAGTTTACTTACAGAGGTGGATTGGAGAGGGTTGCTGGGGGGAAAGGGGGGACACATGTAATACTTTCAACAATAAAGATTTTTTTTAAAAATCATGTTGCCCAGCTGGCATCGACCTATGAACCAGGAGGTCATGGTTTGATTTCTAGTCAGGGCACATGCCCAGGTTACTGGCTCAAATCCCCCGTGTGGGGCAAGCAGGAGGCAGCCAATCAATGATTCTCTCTCACCTATCTGAAATTTAAAAAAAAATATATATATATACATATATACATACATATATATATATATATATATATATATATATATATATATATTTAAATCATGTTAATTTTTCCTCTGCTGGAACTGATTAAGTATTTACTTTTTAATCTCATTTCATATAATACAGTTAAACCAAATTTATATGGGATCAATTAAAAAAAAAATTTAGGGGGAAAATTTGCAACTTAAAGTACATCATTAATGCTCCTCTAAGAATTATTATAGCAGTAGCCCAGGAAGTAAATAAAATTATAATAGGGTATTTATTAGGCAACTGCAGTTTTCCAGCAGAGTATGTAATCATTTAGGCTGATGTCCCATTATTACTACTGTATGTTCATCTAATGTTTGCAAATACAGAGGGGAAAGAGGGCCAAAAATGTGTGTGTGTGGGAGGGGGGCTGTTGTGTTTTGTTTTATTTTTGCTATTATGTGTGTGTTTTTCTTAAACAACTAAAATCAGATAAATAAAACAGACAAATATTTAAATACTAAACCGCAAGGAGTAGGGACCAACTAGAGCAGGATTCCTGGCATGTTCCTTTTTAGAATCAGATGATAAAGAGTGAGAATCCTATTTGATGGCTGATAGATGAAAATATTTTCATTGAAAGTATACTCAGTAATGATAGTAAATTGAGACAGGATGCTGTCTAGCAGGTGGGCCATCATCTGAGGCTCAGGATATAAATATTCACCAGTTTGGTAAGATGGGGCAAAAAATGAGATTATTGCCCAGCCGGTATGGCTCAGCGGTTGAGCACTGATCCAGGAATCAGGAGGTCATGGTTTGATTCATAGTCAAACAAATGATGATGTTTCAGGCTCAATCCCCAGTAGGGGGCATGCAGGAAGCTGTCAATCAATGACTCTCTCTCATTATTGTTTCTGTCTCTCTTTCTCTCCCTCTCACTTCCTCTCTCTGAAAACAATAAAAATATTTTTTTAAAGAGATTATCCTAAGGTACCATAGGTGAATTTCAGCAACCAAAATATGTGCTAAATTGGAATGGTTTTTGAAAAAAATAATCTCCAACCAATGAAACAATTGATTCAGGTAAGGATCATCAATGGATGCTAAAGTCAATGGGTTAAAGGTTGTTGGGGAAACAGAATATTGACACAACCTCAGATATAACCCAGAAATCCTTAATTACAAAGGTGAAAGGTAACTTTACTTTAGAAAAATAAATCTGTATTTTTATTAACCACGAGATAAGACTAAACACCAATAATGAGACAAAGTAACCTTATGTGAAGGAAACACCATCTGTACTATTTTTGCCAAAATGTTTAATCTGATTCTAAACATGAAGAAACAATTGGACAAAAACAAAATTAAGGGCATTCTCAAAACAACTGGCCTGAATACTTCAAAAAATGTAATGTCTTAAAAGCCCAAAAGAAAAAAGAAAAAGAAAGAAAATTTTGTTAATTATAGGAGACTACAGAATCAGGAATATCAAATGTTTTGCACCATGATCATTGACTGACTCCTGGATCAAAAAGGAAATAACTAATACATATATTACTGGAGAAATTAAAATATGGTCTATATATTAAATAATTTCATTACATTATTAAATTTCTTGAGTATGATTATAGTATTGAGGTTATGTAAGATAAAGCTCTTTTTCTTAGGAGTTATATGCTGTAGTACATCTTGGTAAAATAACATGGTATCTACAACTTACTTTTTTTTTTTTAATATGATTTTTTTTTTTTTAAGAGATAGAGAAATAGGAAGGAAGAGGGATAGATACATACGTACACTGATGAGAGAGAAACATCATGGATTGCTGCCTCCAGCACGCACCCTATTAGGGACTGAGCCTGCAAGCTGGACATGTGCCCTAACAGGGATTCAAACCTGTGACCTCTTGGTTCCTGAGTGGACGCTCAACCACTGAGCCACATCAGCTAGCTGCAACTTACTTTCATATGGTTCAGGGGGAAAAGGTATGTGTTTATTAATATACATTAGAGAAAATGAGATAAATGTGACAGAATGTTAATACAACTGTAAATCTAGGCAATGTGAATTTAGGTGTTCATTGTATTATTTCTCTAAATTATAAGTTTGAATTTTTTTAAAGTTAGAGGTGTGGGGGAGCATGTATTTATGTATTTGCTTTTATAGTCATAAATATATGACAATAGTCTATGGAAAGATACATAAAAAACAAATGAGGGTGGTAAGAAAACTGAGAAAGGAAGGGGATGAGGTGAAGGAGGACAAAAGTGTGAATGGGAGATTCTTTGCTGTATGCTGTATTGCACCTTAACATTTTTTTAAACCATGCAAATGTTCTATATATTTAATAAATTAATAAAATGAAAAATGTAAAGGTTTAGCAAAAACACTGAATCTGCTATAGAGAGATCCATAGTAGTTTTCTTCTGAAATTCTCAGGGAAATATTTAGGTAGGAAGGGTTATCCAAACATTTAACATCTGTGATTTTATTTTATTATTTTTTTTTTATTTTGGTAAAGGGTGAATCAAAATTTCTGGGCTGAGCAGAGAAGTGAGCAGGCTTTTCCCAGACATCCACCTTCAGTGGGCATTCTCTCACCATTTGAGAATCGCTAATCATAAAGAGGAATATTACTGATGGAAACATATAAATGTGAATGTGTGAAAGAGAAAAAAGATAACTGTACACAAAATAACTGTATCTTGTCCCATCTTACTGCTATGCTTCCATTACCACCTCAGGTTAAAGGGCCCAAATCCTGATGTCAGCTGTAAACTGGGCTCAGCATACTAGGGAAAGAAAGTGCTTTGTTTCCAACACCCACCTGAGAGCCCGCCGCTCTGGGTAATCGAGGTCATAATCATAACTTTGCATAGAATCATTGCAAGAGTCCCGGGAACTGCCCTGAAGTAGCAGCTGCTGTGGCAATCGCACAGGCACAGGGAACTGGTGCACAGAAGCGTTGGGCTGGGAAGTCGAATGGTAAGGAGGCGGGATGCTGTTGCTGGTCTCACTGCGATAGTCACTATCTCGGTCATCGACAGCACTATCGGGATCTTCAAAAGCTGTGGAACAAGCACAGTCAAAGCTTTACTCAATTCTTTAGAATTGTTTCTGCTTCTAACTGAGGGAGCCACCAGCTACCTAAAATCAAGAGCAAGCTGAGTTGCACCCGAGTCCAGTGTCCTCAAAGACGTGTGCAGAACTGTCTCAATACCCACTAGTTTCTCCCCTTATCAAATGAGAGATAATACTTGGTTTAATTTTAGTGCTGATTCTTAGATGAGTTGCATTTTTCCAATGCAGAATTCTTTGAGATTCTACTTCTCTAGCTATCATAACCCTAAGTTATGGTAAGTGTCATAAACAGATTCTGGTCCTCTACTACTATCAAAATGAGGGGGGGAAATCGTTTTTCCCTATCTTAAAATGAGAATTTGTTTAAAATTGTCTTGTTTTCAGACCTTAAAATACATGGCTGAACCAAACAAACAGGTCCAACATCAGAAGCTGGCCAAGGAAATCAGGAAGGTCAAGCCAAGGCTTTAGAGTCACCCTAAAGGTCCAGCACTAAACGATGAACACAGCTACAAATCCTGCCCCAAGCAAGAATAAAAATGTGGAGCACTGTGCTTGGAAAGGGAGCTCAACCTTACTGTGCTTTATAGGTTACTATATAGGGAAGCCATTTCTGACACCATCCTCATATGTACCTAATTAATAAATCCCCATATTTCCTTTATTGCCAAGTTCCCATTTGGCTTGCAATGAGGAAAACCAATATTCACCATCCCAAAAAGGAGATACTTTTAGCAAATGATGGACTCCTCATACTAGTAATAAAATAAAATTAAACCTTGGTAGTAGTATGGGAAACAGAAGCTCCTGATGAACATAGGTTAGGCTTTTACATTTTCTCATGAAGGAGATAAGGACCTACATCCATATAGTAGAAATTAAAAATTTGAACTAGGGTGGGAGGAATTCAGGCAGAAATGATAAAACTTGGAAACAAGCTCTGGTTAGTGTGACTCAGTTAGTTGGGCATCATCCTCCATGCACTGAAAGGTTGCCTATTCAATTCCCAGTTGGATGCCAGGTAAGGAGCTTGCAGAAGGCAGCTGATCAATATTTAGCTCTCACTTAAATGTCTCTCTCTCTCTCTCTCTCTCTCTCTCTCTCTCTCTCTCTCTCTCTCTCTCTCTCTCTCTCTCTCTCTCTCTCTCTCTCTCTTTCTCTCTTTCCCAAAATAAAAATAAAAACTTGGAGACAAATGGAAGGTAACAGGAAAATGACCCTTGGGCTTCTACATTATACAGCCTAGTAGGTAATTCCACTAAGAGAGACAGGGAGCAGCACAAACATGGGCTTTACACACAAGGAAGAAAATTTGAACACTGGGTTTGAGACAACACTTGTGGATACAGCAGGATACAGGGGTAAGCTTTTCTCATCTGAGTTTAAGGCGATATGTGAGCATAAGAAGAAGAAGGGGGAAAAAGAGGTTAGTGATTAGAACCCCAAGGGAAAAATCAGTACAAGAAAGAGGCTAACCTTCAAAATGGGCAGGAACAAGATCAGTCAAAAAACACAAAGCATTCTGATCACATATTAGGAAAAAGACTTTACAGGCACTGGTTTTAATCCTTGATGTATTTGTTGTTCTGAAAACTAGAAAGGATCAAAGATTGAAAACCAGAATGCCTTTCGGGTTTAATTCTCCATGAACCCACAGAAGGAATAAGTGTGGGAAAAGTCAGTACTGAATTATTCATGCATACAGGGAGAGGGGGCAGATACAAAAAAGAAGACAGAGCAAAAAGTCTACTTAAATTCTGGCAGGAGAAGAATTAGCACATAATCCAGAAAACCAAAATTGAGTATCTAAAAAGGAAGCCTTGATAGACAATCCTACTGATTGTGAGGTCAGGAGAGAGCAGCTCAGCCAGAAGTAAGAAGCCCATGATCCAGAGCCAGGCACTTAGTATAGAGACCCTTAGTTTCTCACTGCATCTCACCTATTACTTCTAAATAATGCTGTGTGTGTGTGTGTGTGTGTGTGTATTCTTTTTTTAATATATTTTTATTTATTTCAGAGAGAAAGGAAGAGGGAGAGAGAGATAGAAACATCAATGATGAAAGAGAATCATTGATTGGCTGCCTCCCACACTCCCCCTCCGGGGATCGAGCTCATAACCCTGGCACGTGCCCTTGACCAGAATTGAACTCCAACCCTTCAGTCCACAGGCTGATGTTCTATCCACTAAGCCAAACCGGCTAGGGCATGCTTTGCTTTTTTATTTTGCTAGGTTAAGGGGATGAATATTCCAAAACTTTCCTAAAGGCTGACAGCATTTCTATACAAAATAAATAAAATACAAATATTAAGAAACAAAATGCCTATGGAAAGAAAAGATTGGGAATAGAAGGAAAGAGAATATGAAAAGTAGGAGGGAATGGGAGAAAGGGAATATAGGGAAGTGAAATGAGACAAAAGAGAGAAACAGAAAAAGAGAATGTGGAAGGGAATGACAGAAAATAAACCTGTAAAAGTAAACTGGAGAAGAAATCTAATCTGGGACAAATCTGGGCCACAGGCACAGAGCAGGCACCCAAACAAAACTGCATGAGATACTGAACAGTGAGGCTCCGGTGAGGAGTGCTCCTGGATTAAGTGCCTGTCTTTAAATCCAGAGTACAGACTGAAATTTACCAGCTAGAGAAGAAAGAAAAAAGAATTCAAACCTTTTTATTTTTCATTAGTTACTTATTTTCTATTTAAATTAAAACCTTAAGTTATCTGAGCTCTCTTAGGCTGCCTTTGAGCAGTTTCCTAGTGAAAATGCTCAGGATTCAAACAGCAGAAAATACATACTTCATGAGAAATTCCAATATCAGGACAAAATTTAGTGCCTCTTAGCACCTATTAGACACTAATCACTGGGACGCAGCCAAACCCCTTGCCAGATGGGTAACAACCAGTAATGTTCACGTAGGGCTGTGTATCCTGCTGGAAAGGACTGACTACCCACTCTCCAAGCCCTAGAACAAAGTTAGCCCACCTGGGCTGCTTCAAGCAAAGAATTCAAACCATGTCATCAGCCTCTTGCTCACTTCACCAAACCAATGACCTCCCCCAGAATAAACCTTCTCCTTCTAGTCACTGCACTCCTTAGTCAAGAAACCAAAGGAGAGGGCTTCCTACACTGGTGGCTGATGGTACTGCTTGTCTCTGGCAAAGAAAACTCAGAAGATCCTGTCAGAATTATAACTGGGACTTTGAAATTTATCATACACACACAGTCTTTAAGAAACCAGCCTGAAAGGATATAACATTTCACTAAAGATAACTATCTCCTGAGGTTTAAGGAGCGTAGGGAGGTGAAAGGAGGGGTGTGAAATTATATATGCTTATAATATGCATGAATATCCAGCTTTATAGTTCAGAGAGAGTATGTTAAAGGATAAGATCAAGAAAATTATAAGGAATTCAAATTCTTACGTACTCTGCTGCTCTCCCCAGCCCAGATAGGTCCAGTGACCTAAGAACACCGCAAGTGGTAGCAAGAAGAAGAGTGACAGAGATAATTTTAGGAAGAATTCAAAGATCATTTCCCCAGCCCACCAATTATTATATACCTTACCTTATTTGAGCCTTTGCTATTTGTATTCCATTAATTTTACATAGCATGTAAAGAGATCTGCCTTCTACCTTGCATAAGACAAATATAAATACAAAGTACTCTTGCTCTCTACTAGTCACTATATGGGGAATAACAAAAAACGACTGCTTCCATATACTCTTTTTAAACCTCCTCTGGCCTACAACATCATTTAGAAGCTGATACACTCTTCTTTGTCTTTGTGTTCATTAAACCTGAGCCTACCACAGTATAGCCATGAGAGGCTCAGTCCTGATACAGTGGAGAGTGATTCCCTTTTCTGGAAGCGGTGATGTCCAATTTTGCTTCTCTCCATTGAAAGTTAAAAGGCCAAAAAACAATCGCACTCTCTCATTTTTTGATATGTAATAAAACACTGTAGCCAGTTGGGTCCTCAGAGATAACATTTTTCTTAATTACCTATAAATTTTAAATAAAATCTATTAATACACAAAAGCTTTGAATGAAAGGAGAAATGATGTTTTCTACTCATTTTTCAAAATAAAAAATTCAATATTAATTAAATTTAAAGCCTTTTCTACACTCAAACTAAATTTGAGGCAACAAATGTGACAAAGAAATCACTAAAAATAGGCCTTTATCCTAAGAAACAATGAATAATAATTTGGCTTCATATTGGTATTGAAGTCAAAGCTAAGTTATTCTGGCCCTGCCACATACTAGCTATATAATCTTGAAAAAGCTGTAAAGATTACTAGAGAAAATTATTTTGTCATATTGTCAGATTTTTGCTTGCCTTATAGGTTCCTGATAAATAGGTAATGGGAGGGTCAGCACACTCTGACAGCCCTAATGTTTGCCGAGAGATTGCCAATGTCTGGGTTAGAAATCCCTCAGAGTTCTGCGGATGCAGTTCCCTTGAAAGCTGGCTGTAAAGGATCAAAATTCTAGAAGCATTGAATAATGCCAGACAAGGCTGGCTTCATTACCTGAGCTAACTTCCAATCCTGGGGATATGGGACTACTAATCACAGGTGGTTTAATTTATCTATACACTGAGTGTCAGTTTTCTTCCTATGTACTTAACTTCTTCCTGCCACCTATGTCTTCTTCTCTGAAAGGATACTGTGCCATTTTTAAATTTTAACAATTTGTTAAACTTTCTAACCATGGGGAAAGAGGGACTTCAGCTGAAAATTCTCCCAGGCCATAGCACAGTTGTCATAGCAACTGCTAAGGGGTAATTACCTTGTTTCTTTTCAAAAGAAAACTGAAAAATAATCACATAGAATTTCAGATTAGCTTGCAACCTAGATTGCTCCAGGCAAGTAATAATAATGTTTCTCAGTGAAACTCTGGGACCAAAGAAGGCTCTCCTTACAAGACATGCCTCATTCCTCAATGTTCCACAGCACTGCACAGCAGTTTCTCATACATAGTAAGTGGTCAATAAATGCTTATAGCATGAGTAAACCAAACAAGTGACCCCATTCCACTACAAGGTTCATTACTAACCCATTAAAATAACAATAGTTATGCTGTCTGGACAACCAGTTCCCTATTCTCACTTAAGCTTGTTACCATTATTATAAGAGAAATAACACCAGGTTAATTAAGCCAGTTACCTTCTCCACCCCCAAAATGCACTACAACATTTCACTAACAATTAATGAGAGCAGTTAGATTTTACTAGGGAGAAGGACCAAGAAAGGGAGGGGGAAAATGTTTCAGGTAAATAAAATTATCCATACAAAAGCACATTTAATGAACTGATAATAATGCTAGCATATTTGAAAAAGAGGCTTCAGGGTAGGGGCATGCAGGAGGCAGCTAATCAATGTATTACTCTCAGATGGCTGTTTCTCTTTCTTTCTCTTCCTTCCTCTCCCTAAAAATAAATTTAAAAAGCTTTTTAAAAAAAGAATTCATGAGTTCATAGTGACAGTCATAAAAAAAAGTAGGATAGGAGAAGAGGAAAAGACAGCTACTCAATGTATAAGTAATGAGAGAATTAGAAAATCATCACTTTGCAACCACCAATGTGGCTATGATTTATGATCATAACAGATTCTAATATCATATATAATAAAGAGGTAATATGCAAATTGACCATCATTCCAACACACAAGATGGCAGCCCCCATGTGGACACAAGATGGCCATCACAAGATGGCCAGCAGGAGAGGGCAGCTGTGGCAACCAGGCCTGCAGGGGAGGACAGTTGGGGGGGGGGGGAACCAGGCCTGCAGTGAAGGGCAGCTGGGGGTGACCAGGCCAGCAGGGGAAGTTAATTAGGGGCAATCGGGCTAGCAGGGAAACAGTTAGACATCGATCAGGCTGTCAGGGGAGTGGTTAGGGGGGTGATCAGGCAGGCAGGCAGGCAGGCAGGTAGGTGAGCGGTTGGGAGCCAGCAGTCCTGAATTGTGAGAGGGATGTCCGACTAAACGAGCAGTCAGACATCCCTCAAGGGTTCCCAGATTAGAGAGGATGCAGGCTGGGCTGAGGGACACACACACACATGGACACACGTACACAAATTTCATGCACCGGGCCTCTAGTTAATGAATAAAAAGTTATGAGAAAATAGGATATGTACACACAGTCTCAAAGTAGTATGCCCCCCTCCTTCAAATTACTTATTAATTACAAGGGGAGAGAGGGGGTGGGTGGAATATCCTAATAGTGGAAAGATTCAGAAAACAACATCTGAATTAATTAACATCGCATCACAAATAATTTTTTAAAAATAGTATCAGCTATGTAGTAACCAGAATCTAATTGTGAAGAAACAATAGGACAAATCCAGACTTTAGGAAATTTTATAAGACAATTTAACTGGATCCTTGCCAGTTGTCTTATAGAATGTGGGTGGAACTCTAACCTTTTGCAAGGGCAGCTATTGGTGAAGAGAGGTTAGCCCATGCATTCCCTATCTCCTGGGGCGGGGAAAGATGAATAAAGTTTGGGGATGCTGGGGAGCCAGACGGGTTAGATGTCTATCTAAGCAGGAGAACTGCTCATCTGAACTCTATACCTATCTGTAGGTACAATTAGAGCTCATTTAGACCAATTCTTTTTTATACATCAAGGAACTAAAGTAGACAAGTTGAAAGATTTCCAAAGACACTCAGAGAGACAACAGCAAACATATATCTAGAACAAGGACTCAATGACTCCATTACTCCTCTTAATAACTTTTAACTAGTAAAAGTAGTACTTAATTAGCTCTTTAGAAAATGTAAGAACTGGAAGGGTTTGCTGGACAACACTTAACCAACTAAGCCACACCGGCCAGGGTCCTTCCTCTTAAGTTGTAACTGGGAGCCCTAACCAGATTGCCTCAGTGGATAGAGCATTGGCCTGGGGACTGAAGGGTCCCAGGTTCAACTCCGGCCAAGGGCACATGCCCACGTTGTGGGCTCAATCCCCAGTAGGGGGTGTGCAGGAGGCAACCGATCAATGATTCTCTCTCATCATTTATGTTTCTATCTCTCTCTCCCTCTCCCTTCCTCTCTGAAATCAATAAAAATATTTTTTTTAAATGTCATAATCCCACTACCAGAGACAAACTTGGTTAATATTTTGGTGCCTCTTTTTTCAGATATTTTCCCTCCAATTATATAGATTTGTTTCCCTGAATATATAAATCTACTTCGGGCTGCCTTAACAAAATGCCAGACTGGGTGGCTTAAAAAACAGAAATTTATTTTCTCAGTTTCTAGAGGCTGAAAAATCAAAGATCAAAGTTCTGGCAGGGTTCAGTTTCTGGTGAGAGCCCTCTTCCTCACTTGCAAATAGCTGTCTTCTTGCTGTGTCCTCACATGGCAGAGAGAGCTCTGGTGTCTTTTTATTTTTTATTTTTTTGTTAATTCTCACTCGAGAATTTTTTCCATTGATTTTTAGAGAGAAAGGGAGGGAGGAAAGGAGGGAAGGAGGGAGGGAGAAAAAAAGGGAAGGAGGGAGGGAGAAAAAAAAGGATGGAGGAAGGGTGGAAGGGATGGAGGGAGGAGGAAGAGGAGAGAGGGAGAGAGAGAAGAACACATTCAAAAGATACTACATCAATTGGTTGCCTCCTGCATGCACTTCAACTGGTGCCAGGGATCGAACCTGCAACCCAGATATGCGTCCTTGACTCTGAGAAGGCTGACACTCTAGCCACACTAAGCAGGGCTCTCCCTCTTTTTAAAGAGGCACCAGCCCTATCAGATTAGAGCCCCCAACCTATGAAATAATTTAACCTTTAACACTTCCTCACAAACTTTATCTCTAAATAGTCACATTGAGGGGTTAGGCCTTCAACATGAGTTTTAGAGGACACAATTCAGCCCAAAAAGCATTCTGCCTCTGTCCCATAGCCACAAATTCATATCCTAATCACCTTCAAAATATATACATTCCATTCCATTAGCCACAGAAGTCTTAGCTCATTTCAGCATCAACTCAAGTCTAAAAGTCTCATTTAAATATCAACTAAAAATCAGCCCAGCTGGCGTGGCTCAGTGGTTGAGCACTGACCTATGAGCCAGGAGGCCACAGTTCGATATTCAGTCAGGGCACGTGCCCGGGTTGCAACCTTAATCCCCAGTGTGGGGCGTGCAGGAGGCAGCTGGTCAATGATTCTCTCTCCTCATTGATGTTTCTATCTCTTTCTCCTTCTACTTTCCTCTCTGATATCAATAAAAACTTATTTTAAAAAGAAACACACAGAGAGAGAAACTTGCATCAAGTTAGTGACAGAAAAATAAAAATAAAAATTCGCTCATTACAATCATTTTGGAAAGGACCTCTAGACTTTCAATTCACAACCTGGTCTTCAATTCAGATTCTTCTGGTCTCTATAGCCCTAAATGTTTGATAAATTCCATGTCCTAAATAACCAAAAAGGGAGAAGAGTAATAAATCATGAAAAAATAGGTTTTCTTAAATAAAGAAAAAATGTTGACCTCTGCCATTGATCTTACTTTTATCAGGAAAGTAGCCTATAGGATGGAAGGCAACCAATGGATTTATAAACCATAAAAAGAGGTTTTAATTATCAAAAACAATATGATAGAAGTAATATAACAAAGCTGTTCAAGGCATGGACTATCAAGTCAGGTTGTCTGTGTTTGAATATTTACTATACCACTTACAACCTATGTAATTTGTGGCAAATTATTCAATCTCTGTATAGCCTCAGTTTCCTTATCTGAAAAATGGAGAGAGACAAGAGTAAAATGTATGTCTTAGGGTTGTTGTGAAGATCAAATAAGTTAGTTCTTTTTAGTTCTTAGGCCAGCATCTAGCATACTCTAAGACCTCAAAATGTTAGATACTATGGTTCTTATTATTGCAGTATTACTACAATTACTATTACCACCAATTTCCACATGCCTGACATGTGGTTCAGAAAAACAATAGTAACAACAACAAAAGTACAAAATACACACACACACATCCCGCAGATTGAAAAATTGAAAGAGAAGCGACTCTAAATCAGTCCTTTAGTGAATCCTCAAGCTGTTTTAAGAGAAATTAAGGAGAAGGTAGCAATATAGCAACAATGCCTGGCTCATTTCAAGAAGAAATCTGTGTTATTTGGATAAGTAATCTCAGGAGAAATGACATGTTCTCTCACTCAAACATTTATCAAACTTTATTGAGGTGTACTATACTATGTGTCAGGTATATTAAGCCAGATGCTAGGAATTCAAAAAGGAAGAATGTCTATGCCTTTAAAAACTTTTTGCTCCTGTCAAAGAAATATACATAGATTATAATACATGATAGGTTATATAATAAATGTATGCACAGGGTACTATAGAGAAGAGACAGCTAGCTAGACTTGCAGGAAGGAAAAAGTGGCAGAAAGAGTTAATGACGTTAAACAAAGTCTTAAAAAAAATAACTGGTAAATGGGGACAGAAAAAGTAGAATCATTCCTCTTGGGATAAAAAGTTAGCAAATGGACAGAAAAAATGAGCACCATTGCCCTGCCTACAACCACACAAAACCAAAAGATCTCTTCCTAAAGCTACTGGGCAGAGATCACTGGAGGCATGGGTCTGCAAAGGTGTGTTTCTGGAATATATTCTGTTTGCACACACCACAATGCCATCCTCCCCAATTCAAAATAAGCCACATTTGGAGAACTCACAGAAAGCTGTGATTAAGAGCGTCAGAGATAAGTTTCTCACTTACAACACTGGGCGGCAGCACTGGGCAATGGCTTCCTCTGGCTTTCTTCTTGAATAGAATACTAGAAGCAGAAAGAAGAAAAAAACAACGCATATAATAAGAGGCCCAAGTAAAGAGGGGGGGAAATCACAGATACATACCTGTAAAAAGGTTTAGTGTTTGACAAGAGTCAAAATTTTTATTGAAAAGAAATAGATGATCCTGCTGCTGATTTCCCTGTGTGATCCCAATATAAAGGCCAAAATATCAGACAGGACACTGGTCCAATGCAACAGGCTAAATCAGGAAAGCAGAGCCCGTTTTGGCCAAGGACACTTGCCAAGTAGCTGTAGAAGGCTTAGTCTCTCGCCTTTTTTTTTTTTTTTTTTTTTTAACTTTAAAAAAAATTATTCCTGGAGGATATTTATTGATTTTTTAGAGAGAGAGGAACAGGAAAAGAGAAAAACAGAGAAACATCTATGTGAGAAACACTGATCAGTTGCCTCCCATACACACCCCGATCGGGGATTGAACCCACATCCTAGGTATGTGCTTGACTGGGAGTCAATCCTCTAACCTTTTGGTGCACAGGACAATGCCATCCTTCAAAAGAGCACACAAATAAGGATACATAGATCCAAAAATCTGGGACCTAGCAGAAGAAATGCCTTTGTTCATCTATGTAACTAGCGGACAGTTTTTCTAGTATACGTTCCTTCCCCACCAATCTAGAGCCAGACTAGTGCCAATTCAGCTACTTCTTGGCAACAATAAGATGAAAAGGAAAAGTCAGAGAAAAATCCTCCTAATGAAATGTCAGGCAATCTTCCAGATGCCTTTTTCTTTAACATAGTTTAAATTCTTTCATTCTTCAACATACTCACAGGTCCCTCTGTTGAAAAACTATTAAGTGTTCTATAAAACAATTTTCTTTATCTCTCCATATTGCAAATAAGGCTGTTCCTACCTCATTGTCAGCACCCAAGGCATTGATTTGCTCCAATTTGTAGGTCCAATATCTGGCTTCTTCCTCTGGGATATCTATCATGAAAAAGAAGAAACCAGATTACAAGGTTAATAATTTAATCATGAGTCAATAATGCTTTGTTCAATTGGAAATCAAACTTAAAAGGGTGGTAGCAATGGACTAATTTTTCTAGTAGCTTCATTCTTTCTATGAACATTGTATTGAATCTTTACAAAAAATAAACAAAATAATGTTCTATTATTCCCACTGGACTAGAAGACTTAATATTGTTAATATATCACTACCCAAAGTGATCTACAGATTCAATGTGATCACTATCATAATCCCAATATGTTTTTTACAGAAATAGAAACCACATCCTAAAATTAATATGGAATCTCAACAGATGCCAAATAGCCAAAACAATCTTAAAAAGTAAGAATAAAGCTGGAGGTCAGATACATCTTCCTGCCTAAAACTTCACCTCCTTCACCTTAAACTGCTCTTCTGCAATTAGTGGCAGTATTCAAAGTCTTATAATAAAACCTTCAAATAAGCTACTATCTAGTTTGTGTTAACACTTCCTCATCCATAAAATGATGTACCCTGTAATTATTTAAAAGAAGTGAGAGGACAGGAAGAGCTGCTATGCTGCAGATCCATAAGTTCTGATGTAGAGTAATATAGAATGATTCTCTAAGATACATTGTTAAGTGGAGAGCAGCAGGGACACCAAATGTGTTGGAATATACTACTATTTGCTTTTTTATAAAGAGATTAAGCCTATATTTGCTTATAGACTCAACGACTGGCTCTGCAAAGAAACACAAGAAAGCACTAATCGTCACAGCCTATGAGGAAGAGAACTTATTTGTGAGGGAGGCTCAGTAATTTTCACTGGATAACTTTTTAAACCACAGTGGATGTATTCTTGCCTTACCCCTTAAAATAGTTTTAAGAAAAATATAGAGCTATGATTATGTTTACTGCTGTATTATTCATAATAGTATAAACTCTGAACAAACAAAATACCCAACAAGAAGAGTGATTAAATGTATTATGGTTTAAATTAAAGGTCTAGGCCCTAGCTGGTTTGACTCAGTGTAAACAGTCAAAATTAAAATTAAACTAAATTAAAACAAGATAGCATATAAACCAATTAAACAGAAAAAGGTTAAAAGGATTGTGAAATACAAAATGTTAGCAAAGATGTGTAGAAAGGGACATCTCGGATTCAGCTGGTAAGACTATAAAATGGTACAATCCTTCTCACAAGTAACTTGGCAATACTATGAAAAGTAATGGTGCATATACTATTTGACCCATTCTTTATTTTTTTAATTTAAACTCTTTATTGTTTAAATTATTGCATATGTCTCCTTTTTCTCCCATTGACCTCCCCCCGGTCCCTCCCACCCCCTTGACCCATTATTTAAATTCTACATTAAGGGCTTTTTCCTAGACTCACAAATGGGCACAGATATACAAAGCTGTTCATTACAGTAGTATGATATTGACATATATATATTTTTTAAAAACCTACATGTCAATTAATAAACATGTTGCTTAAATAATTTATCATATAGGCATCTGTTCAGACCAGCAAGATAGGCCTTAAGTATAATATAGAACAATGTCCAAGATAATGTGCTTTTGTACAATAGTTCATACAACACTTTATGCAGTTATGTGAGGCTTAATAACAAGGCATGTTCTGAGAAATGTATCAGTAGGCAATTTCATCATTGTGCAAACATCATAGAGTGTACTTACACAAACCTAAATGATATAACCTACTATACACTAGGCTTTTTGGTATACCACCATCAGATAGGTGGCCCGCCATTGACTGAAGTGTCATTATGCGGCGCACGACTGAATCACTATATGTAGTATATACATGTGATTCAAATTTTATCAAAAGAAATTTCTGCAAAAGAAATTTCTTATTTCTAAACCAAGACAAATGAAAGTTAACAGTGATTTATTTCTTTAACCACTGCAAATGGAATGCAAAGGAGGTGAGAAGAGAAACAACTTTTATCCATGTACATTTCCATACTATTTAAATTTTTGCCAGAAAATGTACTTTTTGTAATTTTCTAAAATTTCCTTTTAAATTACTATTCTACTTATTAGTGCTACTTCTCTGTTAAAATGAACAGATCATATGACATACATTCTCTTCAAGATAATAAATGTTAAAATATTATCACATGAGTAAATTATTGATATTTTCTAACAAGTAGGTATTTCGTAAGTCATACTAAACAGTCATAAAAAAGTAAATACTTAAAAAGAATGCTTTTAGTATAGATTCTTTAATTAGCACCATTCTAGCATCAACTTTGCACTATCCCTGGGCTAGGCATTATAGGAAATAGAGAGGAAGAAGACAAGAATGCCCTAAAAAGAGATGGCTAATAAGACAAAAGACACAGGAGTAAAATAAATAGCAAACAATTTCAAACAATATGGTAAAAGTATTGAATGACATTAAAATCAAACAGACTCACCAAAAGGCAACTCAAACCTTGTATCAAGCAAAATTTTATGAGGAGTTGGGTTTCTAGTTCCACAGATCTCATCATCTTTCATTAATGTCTCTGCCTCCAAGGTGGACCACTCCCCGGGCCCTTCCTAGAAAACAGAGATATAAGTTTAAGCTTTCCTTTTGCATGACTCCCCTCTTGGCTTAAGAGCCAAGTGTTTTTCTCTGAATTTCCTTGTTGGAGAGCTTCTGAGGGCCACGCACTTCCTGATAAGGCAAACACACAACTGTCACCACCTACCTCTCCTGCTCTCTGCAAGCCCACCGAGGAAATAATTTCCGGAGTACCGAACTGGAAAACCAAGCTTCTCCATGGATTAATATTTAATCTGCGTCATTCTTAATGTTTCTATTTCTAACCAGCAAAGAGCTACTAACATTTCTAGTGAAGTAGACTTGAACTGGGCCACAATGAAAATGAACTGCCCATTGCCTGGGGGAGTACAGATTTAACCAGAACTAAAAGAAATTCCGGAAGAAGGTTCACATTTTCACCCCCCTCCCTTCCAGAGAAAACTCCTAGTCCATGTAAAAGATAAATAGAAATACTATAGATTCTGTCTAAATTCAAAGTGAGTGTGTATGGAGAAATTATGCTGAATTCTAGTCTGGGGAAGTGGAAATAATGTACAGAGACAATTGGCAATACCAATTGCCAAAACTGGTAGTTCCTTAAACTCTGTTAGGGTTATATGTAGAAAGAAGACTGAAACCAGTTCTCTGGGGATTATTGACCTAAAGAAAAAAAGCAGAAAATAGGATCCAGAGTAGAGAACAGAACCAATCCAGATGGCTGAGGAAATTTAATGGACTCCTCTCAGGAAAGTATCTTAGTGGGAAAGGTAAAAACCACAGGTACCATAAATCAATCACACACACTCTCTCCCCTCCCTCCTTTACCTCCTGATATCTCTCCTCTCTCTCTCTCTCTCCTCTCTCTCTTTCTCCCTCTCTCTCTTACACACACACACATATACACATCCCTCAAAAGTTTAAAGAGATGTTCTAACACCTTTAAATTCAGTCATAGGGCAGGGGAAAGATCAAACTGAAATAAAATCCCCTGAACCTCTAGGTGAGGTGAGGAATAACTGGTTGTATGCCCTCTAATTAGCAAGGGGGAAGAAAAATCTGAGATGTATAGATGAATATTAGTTGAATGGAGCTTGAGGAGAATTAAGGGCTAGAACCATACCTATAAGTGGACAATGCAAGAACTGACCTCATTCGACTGTCGAATAGTCTTCAGTGCAATCCACACGGTACCCACCATGGTGTCCCAAATCAGTCCTTTGTTCCATACCTCCACACTTAGACCCAGGTCCAGGCGACTAATCTCACTAAAAAAAAAAGAAGAAAATCCTTTAAATAAAACCAGATGATATGAATGAAACAGCTATATCTTCTGTTTACCTTGAATATTTTATTACCAGGATTTTGTCATCAAGGAAAATCAAAATGCCCCAGAATGCTGCACCCATTATTTAGATTCCTAGAAACCTATGTAAAGTATCTATAGAAAAATGCCTTTGTTAGTCTGTCCCCTCTCCTTTGGAGCTACAATTATGATTAGATTAATAGTTCCATTTTTTTAAAAAAAGTGAAGTAATATGGGCATTACTACAAAGGCTGCCTACGTACACTCTTCATCCACCCTTAGGCAATAGTCTTATATGTTTTCTTGTTAATACTAACACTGCCCACAACTTATACCTATGGATTTGTATACAGGAAACTTTTAGAAAAAACAAGGCTCCTTGACAAGATTTATTAAATGGGTTGTCAGCAGAAGAAAGAACATCCCTGAGAACACCTAAGTTTGATGGGAACACATGGTCAGGGACAGGTGAGGGACACCAGCGTGCCAGTTCATACCACACAGCCCCTCATTAGACATTAACTCATTAGACATTATCAGTTAAAGTAGGCACTGTCACTTATTAACAAGATGATTATCACAGGATAATGATAATGATTTTCCTATAATAATAACTAAGAAAAAATTTTAAAGAAATTATTCTGGAAAGCGCCAGATAACCAAGAAGCAAAAGCAATGTCATGTATTGGTGGAAGATCATCTTGGAAGGGCTAACTCAAACTTAACTATAGCCTAAGCAGCGGTTCTTAATCTGTGGGTCTCGACCTGTCAACCGCTAGCAGGGTCGCCTAAGACCATCGGAAAACACAGATATTTACATTACAATTCATAACAGTAGCAAAATTACAGTTTTAAAGTAGCAATGAAAATAATTTTATGGTTGGGAGTCACCACAACATGAGGAACTGTATTAAAGGGTCACGGCATTAGAAAGGTTGAGAACCACTGCTTTAGAGAAAAGCTTGGTTTCCCTATTGTACTATAATATTAAGATAAATGTTCTCAGATTCAAAATTTTGGGATGGGATATTATAACCATAGAATTCATATCAAGTGCATTGAAAATAAGTGAAGCAAAGAAAAAGTTCCCCTTTACATAAATACAATAGAATACAGAATGCAATAATGAGCTCATTTGTTCATGTACTTAAATGTTTCCTGAGCACATACATACATGACTTGGTTCTTTGGGGAAGACATAATCCAGGACCCAGTTCCTGTCTCTAAAAACTTCCAAGCTATCGGGAGTTGACTCACATTCATAATTCATCTCTAAGAATAGATTACAAATCCACAAGAGAATAAAACTGCAGACATATTTCACCTTCTACACACCTCACTTGTTCCTGTAACTCTGTAGTTTTCAAAAAGAATATTTAACATATGCTAATATATTGAAATATGTTTTAAACATTTAACATATTTTATAAACATTACACATACACAAAATCTTGGGCCTGTATTTGTTTAATCCAATGTAATTACCTTGAAAAGGCAATCAAATATTGCAGGTTCGCTGCTGCTGCAAAGTACTTACAACATAAAATCTTGTTCCCAGGAAGGCTGATCGCCACGAACGGCTACGGTTGTGCTCTTCACATTCTGCACTTTCAGGGTCACATACGTGTTAAATTTATCTTTGAAAAAATGCAAAATGAAGGTGCAATACTTAGTGCTCAGACTATTACCCAATCTCACAAAGCCTTTGGAATTAAATAATATCCAAAGTAAAGCATTACATATAGAAGAAATGGAAACATTTATTGTACAAAGTAGCATCATTCAAAACAGTAGAGTCGCAAAAAATATATAAAACACATATTGCTTTTAAAAGCATAACCTAAAAGTGTTTTAGAAGTTTAAAAAATACACACATAAACACATATAAACTAGAACAAAGCTTCATAAAATACGAGATGGTACATTGATATTTACTATTCTACTTTATTCAATCTATAAAAATATTAACATAGCCAACTAATTTGATTTTATAGCACACCTGCAGCTTGAAAAAACTAATATAATTTATCTAATAGGAAAGATATGTAACTTTAAATGTAGAAAATAAAAGTGCCATTAAAAGAAAGAAAAAAAAAAAGATTGTAGAAGAGGAAAAGGTAAACTCTAGCTGTTGAAAGGGATAAGAATTCAGGACAAACCCTCATAAAGAAAATGAATTTCAAGCTTGATCTATTGAATTATCAGAAATGTTTTTACAGAGTTGGGAAAAGGAAATTCTCTGAGAATAAAAGTTGAGTATTAAACAAAGGTAGGTAGCCTGAACCTCAAAACTCAGAGATCTGCCCAACACTTAACACGGCAGATTCTATTCTCACCATACTATCTTCACATCAGCCATGATAAGGGCACTGAATTCAGAGTTCTTGTATATAAATACTGAGGCTCGGTATACTTGGGAGGTCCCTGAGCCTGGCCTGCGCCCTCTTGCAGTCTGAGACCCCTTGTTCCTTTCCATCCACCTGCTCGCTACTCCTGTGGAGGTGGGAGAGGCTCCTGCCACTGCTGCTGTGAGCCCAACTTCTGGCACTTCCTCTGTGGGAGCACACTGACCACCAGGGAGCAGCTCCTGTGTTGAGCGCCAGCAACCAGTTGTTCCGCTATTTGGTTGCATATTAGTCTTTTATTATATAAGAAGTTAATCATCTATACTAATAAAAACTTACATGGTCCTCAAGCGTGACACTGCCACATGATGACCACCACAAGATGGCTGGCAGGGAAGGGCAGTTGTGGGCGAACAGGCCAGCAGGGGAGGGCAGTTGTGGGCGAAAGGCCAGCAGGGGAGGGCAGTTGGGAGTAATTGGGGAGGGGAAGGAAGTTGGGGGCCATCAGGCTGGCAGGGGAACAGTTAGGCATCAATCAGGCTGGCAGGCAGAAGCAGTTAGGGGCAATCAGGCAGGTAGGTAGGCAGTTAGAAGCCAGCAGCCCTAGATTGTGAGAGGAATTGGACCTAAATCGACAGTAAGACATCCCCCGAGGGGATCTCAGATTGGAGAGGGTGCAGGCTGGGCAGAGGAACACCCCCCTACAGTGCACAAATTTCATGCACTGGGCATCTAGTAGTTTTATAAAATGAAAAAGCAAGACTCATCAAACTAGCAAAGACTGCTTAAAATGATTACCTAATGTTAGAGATGTGAGAAAATGGTCTCTGTCATGCACTTCTAGCAGAAGGTAAATCTTTCTCTTAAGTATCATTAAAATGTATGTAGTTTATATATAATTCCCATCCATATCCAGTGTCCCAGTGCAGTAGACTGAGCTATGTTTCATCTCATATGATTTTTTACTCCACTCCCCATATTCAACCAGAGCTAATTAGATGAGGGGCAAATGTCACTCAAAAGCATTAAGTCTATGGGATGGCTAAAAGGTGCAACCAATATGATTCCTTCTCAAAATATTGTAAGTTGGGAAAACAAAGAAACAGTGGTAGCTGCGGGTTGATAAAGCTTGAATGAGAAGCATACACACTCCGCTGGAGAAGCCATCATGGACTGTATGCAAGCATAGAAAGCCAGCTGGAACAGATTCTCACAACAACAACAACAACAAAAAAGTCTTAATCCAAAACCAGTGGAGAGAGTAGAAAGCTCAGAACCTGCTTTGGTTCCTACTGCACTCAAGATTTTGTTTGGTTTTTCAGATTTTCCTGGGTTCCCAACCATGGTTTTTTTTTTTCCTAGCTATTTTCAGAACTCTTTCTTTCCCCAGCAGTAAGCAGAGTAACTTGACATTCACAATTAAGGAAATATGTATAAAAATAAGGAGATACTATTTTTACCTTCAGGAAGTATAATGGATAAAGATTAAAGAGTTTCATATTATTTCATGTTGATAAGGATTTGGGAAAATAAACCCCCACACACTGTGTATGTTAGTATAATCTAGCAAAAACTTTCAGAAAGTCAATGTAGCAGCAGCTACCAAATATCTCTAAAATACATACTTTTAGCCCAGCAATTCAATTTCTGGACTCTAGCATACATTTGCATTTGTAAAAGCAACGATATAATGCACAAGAACATTTACTTCTTAAAACAGCAAGAAATTAGAAACAACATAAATATTCAATCAAGTACTAGGGTACAAAATCTACAACAAAATTCTGTAAAACGTTTTTTTTAAAAAGAACCAAACACACACACACACACACACACACACACACACACACACACACACACGAAAATACTTTCATGATGTGTTGGAAAAAAGCAAGGTTGCACAAAGATATGTGTAGCTAATCCAGTATTGTATACACACATATACACAGAAAAAAGTCTGAACAATATATAAAAACCTCTAAATAGTTACTTCAGGAAGTGTAATTGAGTTGGTCAAGAAGTAAGCAGACTTAAACTTTTTGCTAGATAGATATATAGATTTTGATTTCTTTAAACTTTTACAACAGCATTGTTTTCCCCCCCAGCTTTCCTGAGGTATAACTGACAGTTTAAAATTATATATTTTAAGGTATACAATCTGATTATTTGATGTAAGATACACTGTGAAATAATCACCACAATCAAGCGAATTAACATATTCATGAGCACCTCTTATAGTTACCACTTTGAATGAGAGAGGGAGTATGTGTGTTGAGAACACTTAAGATCTTCCCTCTTAGAAAATTATAATACAAATATAGCCTACCAGTGTGGCTCAGTGGTTGAGCATTGACCCATGAACCAATACATCACTGGTTCGATCCCATCAGGGCACATGCACGGATTGCAGGAAGGCTTAATCCCAGTAGGGAGCATGCAGGAGGCAGCCAATAGATGATGTTTATCTCTCTATCTCTCTATCCTTCGCCCCTTCCTCTCTCTCTCTAAAAATCAATCAAAACATTTTTTAAAAGAAAATTACAAGTACTATACAATACTAGTTAACTGTATATACACACTGCTATACATTAAATCTCCAGAAATTTTTCATCTGTATAACTAAAACTCTGACCCCCTTGACCAACATCTCCCCATACTGATTTTTAATTGTTTTAATGAATTTAGTATATTTAATTAATTTAATAACTGAATTCAATAAAATTAATTTTTAAAATATTGCTTTTAAATCACAGGAAACATAGTAAGTAAAGATTGATCTTACCTGGTGAACCCTGGAATTTGGCTCTTTTAACTGCAAAAGAAAAAGAAGGCACCATGAAAAATTTCACAAATTATTTAACCAATATTTCCTGAGCACCTAATTAGGCCAAGCATTGTTAGAGTTAGGACTAGATTTTTGTTTTAGAGTCAATTTTTAAAAATCTTTATTGTTGAAAGTATTACATATGTCCCATTTTTCCATTGACCCTTTATTACCTACCTTCAGCCCTCCACCCCAAGCCTCCACCACCCTATTGTTTAAATCCATGGGTTATGCATATATGCATACAATTTCTTTGGTTGATCTCTTCCACCATCCCATCCACCTCCGCTTTCCCTCTATGCTCTACAACAGTCTGCTCTATGCTTCTATTTTGTTCATTAGGATTCCACATACCAGATGTGCCAGTTAATAATGTATATTTTGTAATAAAAGAAAACACGATAATTTCAAGAGAAACATCAAAAGTGCTTTATTCAAAGTAATGTCCGTTGCTAGCTACACATTTCCCCCATCTTTCAGGTAATTTGTGGATACTGTCCCAATAGAACTTTTCTTGTTTTGAGGCAAACCATTCAGAGACCCAATTTTCCACTTCTTCATGTTTTGAAGTGCTGCTCAGAAAGTACGTGTGCCATCGATCGAAACAATCTGAAGGAGCAAGGTCTGGTGAATACAGCAGGTGGGTTAATATTTCCCAGGCAAGATCTTTTAACGTGTCTTTAACTGTTTTTGAAGTGTGTGATGGTGTGATATCATGAAGCAAAATTACTTTGCTGTGTCTTCTGGCCCATTCTGGTCCTTTCTTGATTAAAGCATGGTTCAAATTGATTATCTGATGTTGGTAGCGATCAGTATTAACTGTTTTCACCAGTCGCCTGCCTGCCTGATTGCCCCTAACCCCTCTGCCTGCCTGCCTGATCACCCCATAACTTCTCTGCCTGCCTGCCTAATCGCCCCTAACTGCTCACCTGCCTGCCTGATTGCCCTTCACCGACTCTACTTACCTGCCTAATAGCCCTTAACCACTCTGCCTGCCTGCCTGATCACCCCTAACTACTCTGCCTGCCTGCCTAATCATCCCTAACCACTAGCCTGCCTGCCTGCCTGATGGCCCCTAACCACCTCTGCCTACCTGTCTCATTGCCTAACCACTCACCTGTCTGTGTGATCACCCCTAACCACTCTGCCTGCCTGCCTACCTGATCACCCCTAACTGCTCACCTGCCTGCCTGATAGCCCCTAACCACCTCTGCCTCAGCCCAATGTCTGGAATGACGTCCAGAAAGTCATTGGCTATCCGGTCTAATTAGCATATTATGCTTTTATTATTATAGATTACAAGAAATTGAAACCAGGCAAGTGTTGCTCAGTGGTTGAACATCAACTCATGCATGAACAAGATCAAGGTTCAATTCCTGATCAGGGCACATGGCCAAGTTGCACATTGCGCCCCCAGTAGGGGGCATATAGGAAACAGCCAATTGATGATTCTCATCATTGATTTTTTGTTTTGTTTTGTTTTTAAGATATTTTTTATTGATTTCAGAGAGGACGGGAGAGGGAGAGAGATAGAAACATCAAAGTTGAGAGAGAGTCATTGATAGGCTTCCCCCTGCATACCTCTTACTAGGGATTAAGCCCACAACCCAGGCATGTGCCCTTGGCCAGAATCAAACCTGGGACCTTTCAGTCCACAGGCCAATGCTCTATCCACTAAGCCAAACCGGCTAGGGCATCATTGATGTTTCTCTCTCTCAATCAATATATTTTTAAGCAGAAATAAGAGATGATACACTGTGCCTACCCTCAAAAAAAAAGGTGTAACTTCAGCTCTTGAGTTTCTCTGACCTTGCTGAAGAATCAAATCTACAACTGGCACCCTTGAGATTACAGAAAATAATCCTATTCACCCTGGCTCTGCATCCAGTGACCTGGTTCCTCAGGGACAGGGAATGATAAACTGCCTCGTTCTAGCCTTTCTACTCATGAAACAATTTCTGAAGGCTTTGGGAACTAGTTCCCTTGTTTGCAACCCTCCTGCTTCAGAATCTAGAATTAAAGTGTGTCACCTCTCACATATAATAATCACCATTTCCTTTTTTCTTTAAAGTTTAACATTTTAGCCGGGACCGGTTTGGCTCAATGGATAGAGCGTCGGCCTGGGGACTGAAAGGTCCCGGGTTCGATTCCGGTCAAAGGCATGTACCTTTGTTGCGGGCATATCCCCGGTGGGGAGTGTGCAAGAGGCAGCTGATCGATGACTCTCTCATCGATGTTTCTAACTCTCTATCTCTCTCCCTTCCTCTCTGTACAAAATCAATAAAATAAAATAAAAAAATAAAATAAATTAAAAAAAAGTTTAACATTTTAAATGATGAAAATCATATATAATCCCACTGCCCTGTTTTCAATCTAGCATAATATGTTTTTAAATTATTAATTTATCAAATATTCCAACATAAAGATGCACTAACTGTGACGTCTGTTAGCCACATGATCACATGAGTTGACTCAACTGTTCTGACTGGCTAGCAAGATGTCCTTATTCCTTTCCCCTCTGTTATGAGTAACCATAAAAGTTAAACACTCAGTTTAGGAAGAAAATAGGCCATGAAAAATCTTTTCCTCTCAAAGTAACAGCAAATATTTTCCAATGTTTATTCAGTCTTTGTAACTATCATTTTAATTAATCATAAAGGATGATGGTTATTAATATTGTTATCAAAATGGCAAAAAGGTAGATCATTTTTAATGGTTCCCTACAATCTCATGTTTTAAGTGTTATATTAAATCATTCTCCCTTATATCACACATTTAGGCTTTAAAAATTTTTTTATACATATGCTTTAGCTCTTCATTTTTATGAGGGAAAATGAAAGCTGGTTCTTAAGAAAAAGATGACTTACCTTTTTAAAAAACAAAGGAGGCCCTAGCTAATTTGGCTCAGTAAATTGAGCTTCAGCCCACATACTGAAAGGGAGGTCCCCAGTTCAATTCGGTGAAGGGCAGGCTCGATCCCGAGCCGATTGGGGCCTCTGTTTTATATTTTTGCTATAGGAAAAAATAATAATTAATAAAAAAATATACTGACTGTACTATTAGCAAGGTATTATTTTAAGTGATTCACATGTATTTTGTCATTTATTCTCTACAATAGCCTGATTAGGTATGTACTAATATTATCTCCATTTTATAGATGGGAAAATACAGGCACGGATTAAGTAACTTCTCCAAGGTTACACATCTAAGTTACTATGTCAATAAAACATAGATTCTTATCACTAAGATATAGTAATACCAAAATTCATTAAGTGATTTTTAAAAAAATGAGAATCCAACAATCTGCTACTATTAGATCAAAAAACATAAGAACAAAAATAAAAGAGAAATCCTTAAATATCACTGCTAACCTTCTACCTGACTTCATAGCAATTTATTATAATTTAAAGAGAATACTAATAAAAATATAAATAAATACACTACCCTGCCCCTGAAAAAAAATTAATTTCTGTAAGAATCAACAAAATTCACTACCTATAAGCTCCTTTTCAAACCAAAAGACAAACAAGTACTTACGTCAAACTTCAACTAACAAAACCAATGACTAATTCTAGAGTAAACACAGTCCAGGTTATAATTAAACATGTGCAAAATGCTCAAATATATCTTTTAAAATGTTTTCTAAATAAATAAACCTCGGTTGAAATAGATTTTCATATACACAATCAGATTTCTATGGTTACTATTTATTGGAGCTCATTCAAGCTTTGTTATACATGGACAGCACAAGGACATTCTTTAATTCACTTAGCTTAACGTTTTAACTTTAAAATATATTTTTATTGATTTCAGAGAGGAAGGGAAAGTGAGAGATAGAAACATCAATGATGAGAGAATCATTGATTGGCTGCCTCCTACAAGTCCCCCATTGGGGATGAGCCAGCAACCCCAGGCATGTGCCTTGGACCAGAATCAAACCTGGGTCAATTTCTGGGTTCTCTGTTCTGTTCCATTGACCTGTATGCATGCTCCTGTGCCAGTATCAGGCTGTTTTGATGACAGTGGCTTTGCAATATAGCTTGATATCTGACTTTGTGAACCTTCCAACTTTGTTGTTCTTTCTCAAAATTGCTGTAACTATTCAGGGTCTTTTTTTAGTTTCATATAAGTTTTTGGAGTATTTGTTCTTGATATGTAAAATACTAGAGGCCCAGCGTGCAAAATCGCACAAGACCCAGAACCACCACACCGCGAGACCAAGACCTGTCACACAGCGAGACCCATCAATGCAGCCCCTGGTGACCAGTCATTTGGTTGTTATGGCATTACAGTCACTAACTTTTTATAATATAGATGCCATTTGTATTTTGCTAGGGATTGCATTGAATCTATAGATTAATTTAGGTAGTATGGACATTTTAATAATATTAATTCTCCCAATCCAAGAACACGGTATATTCTTTCCACTTGCTTATACTTTCTTCTATCTCTTTTTCAATGTTCTGTAGTTGTCTGAAAACAGGTTTTTTTTACCTCTGTGCTTAAGATTATTTCAAAGTATCTTAATTTTTTTGTTACCATGGTAAATGGAATTGTTTTTTTAGTTTCTCTTTCTAAGAGTTCATATTGGTGTATAAAAATGAATCAATTTCTGAATTTTAATTTTGTATTCTGCTACATTGCCAAATTCATTTATTAAATTAATAGTTTTTTTGTGTGGAGTCTTTAGGGTTTTCTATGTACAATATCATGTCATTTGCAAATAATGACAATTTTACATCCTCCTTCCCAATTTAGATGCCTTTTGTTTCTTCTTGTTGTCTGATCACTGTGGCTAGGACTTCCAGTACTATGTTGAATAAAAGTGGTGAAAATTGTCTTGTTCCTGTTCTAAGGGGAAATAGTTTTAGTTTTTTGTCCACTGAGTATGATGTTGGCTGTAGGTTTGTCATCTATGGCCTTTATTATGTTGAGGTGTAACCATCTATTCTTACTTTACTGAGAGTTTTTATCAAAAATGGGTATTGGGGGAGGGGTGCTACTGGGGTGAGAGGGTCAATGGGGGGAAAAGAGAACATTCGTAAAACTTTCAACAATAAGGATTAAAAAAGAAAAAAAATGGGTGTTGGATTTTGTCAAATGCTTTTTCTGCATCTATTGATAAAATCATGTGATTTAAAAACATGATACCCTAACCGGTTTGGCTCAGTGGATAGAGCGATTCCAGTCAAGGTCATGTACCTTGGTTGCAGGTACATCCCCAATAGGGGGTGTGCAGGAGGCAGCTGATTGATGTTTCTCTCTCATCAATGTTTCTGGCTCTCTCTCCCTCTCCCTTCCTCTCTGTAAAAAAATCAATAAAATATATTTTTAAAATAAATAAATAAAAACATGAAATGCTTCATGAATTTGTGTCATCCTTGCATAGGGGCCATGCTAATCTTTTGTGTATCACTCTAATCTTAGTGTATGTGCTCCAAAATGAGCACCAGATTAAAATTATTGATGCAGTAATTAACACACTCCATTCCTTGTCTATTTTGTTTGATTTTCTAATATATCTTTTCAAATAGTTTATAAATTGCTACCATAATTCCAAATGAGTCATTATATTGGCACCTTTGAGCTTCCTAGGTTTAGCTTGTTAGAGATTTGTAAAAGATCCTTTCCAGTTTCCAAAAACTAAAGATATAAACCCAGAGAGGCCTTGTCAAATTCTAATCTACAACATTCTACTAAGAAAAATAAATCAGGATAAACTGTATACAAAATATGATGCAATTTTATGTAAAAGAAAAAAGTTAATACACAGACAAACACAATAGAGAAGAAAAGACCAGAGTAATTATAATTTTTATTTTTCTCTTGATGTATTTTTCCAAACTGTCCAAAGTATGTACATAGTCCTCTTATAAATGAGAATAATTGTCACCAAAAAACTATCCCTTACCACCCAGATGAAATCTTAACAATTTTATTTGTTCTTCTAATGCTTATCATATTCTGTTCTATATCATAATTACCTCCTCTTATATCTGACTTCCCTATTAGAGTGCAAACCAGCTGAAGGATGGACCACATCTGTGAGCCTTAATAAGTGTTCATGAAGGCTATATTGTGCTTCAGCTGAAAACAGTGAGGCGCATTCGGCTAATTTCACTTAGAGCACAGGACCTTAGTCTCTTGAATAAACGCCTGTTGAATCCACAACAAAAACTAATATACGTACTAAATGCATGTACCAACATTATAGTTCCTTTAACTAGATGGTTTCAAGACTAAAAGTTAAGATATTCAAGTATCATATTTGTCCAAGGCCAGTAGACCAGCACCTTGCAAGACCTAGCCAAGTAGAAAAGTCTACAATTTTATCTCGAGTTGAAAGTCCCAATGTAATGATTACCTTTCTCGATTTACAAGAAGATGGCTGTATTTCAGTTGATTTCCAGGCATGTTTTATACCTTAGGCCAGGCTTTATGAGTTGTTTCCAACTTCTAAACTTTTCAGAACATTGTACCTACCTCTCTGCATTTGTCTGCAAAGTACGTTCATATCTACTACCAGTTGGCCTCTCACTTCAATCCAGTGAAACTGGCACAGTAGTATATTTCCCACTTGACAGAATATGATTCTGAATGAAATTAAGAGCCTTAGAGATAAAATTTTAGTCATTACCTAGTGAGACTCAAAACAGAGTTCTCTTGAACTCAAAATCCTGGATTTTCCATTATGCCACATGTCCTCTCAAGAAAAAAAAGAAGAAAAAAAGGAATTTAGGTTGTAAACACTATTAAACTAGAGCCATAATGAACTCTCCAGCCTATAAAACACCTGCTATAATATTGCCCCTGAATACATACTAAGCAAACAGAAACCATAGCTATAGAGAAACTGATTCACAACCAACATTGTGCAGTCATCTTCCCCTAAGTACTATTTAAAAATAAGACTTCATGCTCCAAAACACTATCTGATATTATTAATTTTGTAGTTTATAGTTTATAATAAGCCAGAAAATTCTAAATTCAACTTTACAATACATAAACATACTAACTTCTGTAGACCCAGTGACCTAATATGTAAAATGAGAATATATAATAAACAAGGTTATTTTGAGAATTATTAATCCTTACTTGCTAATTAGCAGAGAACATGGCAAAGAGGAGACTTACTAAATGTTAATCTCAGTTATTTCACTGGTTCTGAGATGGTGAGACATATTCTCATATTTTAAGAACTCTGGAGTCAAAATGTGTCTTAAAAACAATGATGTTGTCACCCTAGCTGGTGTCATTCAATTGTTTGAAGTGTCATCTCATACACAGAAAGGTCAAGGGTTTGATTCCCAGTCAGGGCATATGCCCAGACTACAGGTTCAATCCCCCCATCCTCTACTAAGGGGAGGCAACCAATGTTTCTCTCTCTCTCTCTCCCAACCCCCGCTCCCATTCCCCCTAAAATCAATAAAAGCATGTCCTCAGGTGCTTTAAAAATAAATTTAAAAATAAATAAAATTAAAAATAATTTTAAAAATAAATAAAATTAAAAAGCAATGATGTGTCTTACCTAAATCAATAAAAAAAAAAATTCCTCAATGGTACTTAAAATAATGATGAGGCTTACAATCTCTGGCATCTTATAGTCAATGAAATACAGCATATCATGATGCTGAGTAAATGTTTATCCTGCCACCATTCCTCCACCCAACAGATCCACACCTTTAACCCTGATCTTCCAAGTCATGTTTCCAACTATATAACACATGGATAGACTGCCAGCACCACAAATTTAACATGTCCAAAACCAAAATCATTATCTCCCAAGAAGCTGTTATTCTTTTTTTCCATTTCCTATCCCAATTAATGACACCATAATGAAAAACCTGACTCCATCTTGACTTCCTTCCTCTTCCTCTCCCAGCTGAGGTCTTTCCTGTCGCTCAGTTGGAATCAAACACTCCATTTCTAAATCCCATTTTATTTTGTAACCTCTATCTTAGAAATTACCAAACTGCATCTTGGCTCTCAGTTTCTTGAGGGTGAGGCCCATTTCTTACTATTTTATGCTAGTGGTCCGGTGCACAGATTCGTGCACATTGAAAGGAAATTAATTAGAAGAAGTATTTTAATATCACTATCACTCTTTCTCTATCAATATCACTCTTTCTCTATAAATTCATGCTTGACAATGACAGATCAAAACACACACGTGCAACTAGTGCCCGCAAGAGCTTTATATGTATCATGCATGCGCACAGGCACAAGTCAACTCAGCCTTTTAGCTATAACTAGAGGCCCAATGCACAAAATTCGTGCAAGAGTAGGCCTTCCTTTCCCCCCGGTTGCTGGCATCAGCTTCTCTCTGACACCTGGGACCCGGGCTTCTCTCCAGACACTGGCAGGCACCTGGGACCTAGACTTCCCTTGCAGCCCCAGCTTCGTCCAGGTCATCCGGAATCTATACTAATAAAAGGACAATATGCTAATTAGACCAGACATCTTCTGGACATCCTTCCAGACAAAGCCACGGTAGCAGGGGCCAAGGCAGAAGTGGTTAGGGGTGATCAGGCCAGCAGGGGAGGGTAGTTAGGGGCAATCAGGCTGGCAGGGGAGCAGTTAGGGGGCGATCAGGTTGGCAGACAGAGATGGGCGGGGTGGGGCGCGCAGCAGCGGCAGGTGGGAAGCCTGCCAGAAGCACTGTTCTTTTTTCTTTTCTTTTCTTTTTAAATATATTTTATTGATTTTTCAGAGAGGAAGAGAGGGAGATAGAGAGCTAGAAACATCGATGAGAGAGAAACATCGATCAGCTGCCTCCTGCAGTTTCATTCCTACAAACTTTCGCCCTAATGTGGCCTACAAGGCTCTTCATGTGGGCTCCATCTATCTCCCTAGCCTCGTCATGACCCATGTTTTCCCTTGCTCAGTGCACACCAGCTATGCATGCCTTCTTTCAACTCCTCCTCCTCACCACAAGGCCTCTGCACATCCTATTTCCTCTGACTAGAAATTCTTCTCCTTCCTTCTCTTGCTTAAGAACTCTTCTTCTTTCAAATTTCAGTTCAATCTTCACTTTGTTAGGTAAAGCTTCTTAGACCTAGTACTAAGTAACTTCCCCTATCACACGTTCTCATAACATATACTCTCCTTTATTGAACAAATCACAGTTGCACTTTTTATGCAAAAAAACCATAAGCATTTATTTGTAGGTCTTACTTAATACAGCAAAATGTTAAAGAAATTGAGAACACTGCTCATTTTTCTAATTTAATTTGATATATAAAATGGAACTTCTTCAGAAAAAAAAGATTTGCATGAAATTTACCTTATCTATGATTCATGCTCTAAGACACGTGTCAAACACAAGGCCCGCGGGCCAAATCCGTCCCGCCAGGCCTTGCAATGTGGCCCGCACCGCGCTGTCATCACTGCACTCCGCTGCGTTTCCATCACAATGACAGTTTATGACTGTTCAGTAAACCATTCGGCCCGCGATTTAGGCTGGATTTTAGATTTTGGCCCCTTCTCTGATTGAGTTCGACACCCCTACTAAGAGTACATTTTATAAAAATCAGCAACCAGGTTTCCTCTGGGTTTAAATTGAAATGAACATGATAAATAAGTAATTTTATTTGATGTAGTTGCAAAAAGAGTCAATAATCCTTTCAAGAAAGAGACTATTTCATTTCCTCCCAATTTGGATTCACCATAAACACAATCCACAAATGTTATTGGAACTTCGCCAATAGTATAATTCAACTGTCTTGCTCAAACAATCATTTCCATCTGGAAAACATAGCCTTTAGAAACACATTTTTCTATTAATTTCTGTAGAACTTCTTTTCAATATAACCTGAAATTTCCTGTTAAATCAGATGCTCCTGGTCTCAGCAAAATCTGAGTTACAAAATTGGCCCATGGCTGATTTTCTTTTCAAATCTCAGCCATCACCACCTCCATTTCCTTTGTAAGAGTTCCAGAGATAATGTCAAAATTACCTTCCTTTAGGGAGATCTGGGGGAGATAAGAGATCAACCGAAGGACTTCTATACATGCATATAAGTACAATCAATGGACATAAAACTCGGAGGGAGGGTATGTATGGGAGGGTAGGGCAATGTTAAAATATGTACACAGATAATAATTTAATAAAAATATATATTTTTTAATTACCTTCCTTTTGCTTCCTAATGAGTTCAAGAATAAATTTTGGATGGTGTGAGAGATAAGCCTCCATAATAATTATGTAATTTCCTATAATTATAATGTTTCATTCCATGTTTATATGCAGTTCCTAGTCTCAACTTTTTCTCCCATGTTCTTGGAATAATTTTGTCTGATCCATAGATCTCCAACTGTTCAGCAACCTCCCTTGTTCCATCTGGGCTCCCATCATCTATGATTATAATTTCATAGTCGATTCCACTCTCGGAGAAGCTTTTCACCAGCAGCCACATGATGAGGGGCAAGTTCTCGTGCTCATTGTAGGTGG